ACCCTAACCCTAACCCTAACCCTAACCCTAACCCTAACCCTAACCCTAACCCTAACCCTAACCCTAACCCTAACCCTAACCCTAACCCTAACCCTAACCCTAACCCTAACCCTAACCCTAACCCTAACCCTAACCCTAACCCTAACCCTAACCCTAACCCTAACCCTAACCCTAACCCTAACCCTAACCCTAACCCTAACCCTAACCCTAACCCTAACCCTAACCCTAACCCTAACCCTAACCCTAACCCTAACCCTAACCCTAACCCTAACCCTAACCCTAACCCTAACCCTAACCCTAACCCTAACCCTAACCCTAACCCTAACCCTAACCCTAACCCTAACCCTAACCCTAACCCTAACCCTAACCCTAACCCTAACCCTAACCCTAACCCTAACCCTAACCCTAACCCTAACCCTAACCCTAACCCTAACCCTAACCCTAACCCTAACCCTAAGCCTAACCCTAACCCTAACCCTAACCCTAACCCTAACCCTAACCCTAACCCTAACCCTAACCCTAACCCTAACCCTAACCCTAACCCTAACCCTAACCCTAACCCTAACCCTAACCCTAACCCTAACCCTAACCCTAACCCTAACCCTAACCCTAACCCTAACCCTAACCCTAACCCTAACCCTAACCCTAACCCTAACCCTAACCCTAACCCTAACCCTAACCCTAACCCTAACCCTAACCCTAACCCTAACCCTAACCCTAACCCTAACCCTAACCCTAACCCTAACCCTAACCCTAACCCTAACCCTAACCCTAACCCTAACCCTAACCCTAACCCTAACCCTAACCCTAACCCTAACCCTAACCCTAACCCTAACCCTAACCCTAACCCTAACCCTAACCCTAACCCTAACCCTAACCCTAACCCTAACCCTAACCCTAACCCTAACCCTAACCCTAACCCTAACCCTAACCCTAACCCTAACCCTAACCCTAACCCTAACCCTAACCCTAACCCTAACCCTAACCCTAACCCTAACCCTAACCCTAACCCTAACCCTAACCCTAACCCTAACCCTAACCCTAACCCTAACCCTAACCCTAACCCTAACCCTAACCCTAACCCTAACCCTAACCCTAACCCTAACCCTAACCCTAACCCTAACCCTAACCCTAACCCTAACCCTAACCCTAACCCTAACCCTAACCCTAACCCTAACCCTAACCCTAACCCTAACCCTAACCCTAACCCTAACCCTAACCCTAACCCTAACCCTAACCCTAACCCTAACCCTAACCCTAACCCTAACCCTAACCCTAACCCTAACCCTAACCCTAACCCTAACCCTAACCCTAACCCTAACCCTAACCCTAACCCTAACCCTAACCCTAACCCTAACCCTAACCCTAACCCTAACCCTAACCCTAACCCTAACCCTAACCCTAACCCTAACCCTAACCCTAACCCTAACCCTAACCCTAACCCTAACCCTAACCCTAACCCTAACCCTAACCCTAACCCTAACCCTAACCCTAACCCTAACCCTAACCCTAACCCTAACCCTAACCCTAACCCTAACCCTAACCCTAACCCTAACCCTAACCCTAACCCTAACCCTAACCCTAACCCTAACCCTAACCCTAACCCTAACCCTAACCCTAACCCTAACCCTAACCCTAACCCTAACCCTAACCCTAACCCTAACCCTTACCCTAACCCTAACCCTAACCCTAACCCTAACCCTAACCCTAACCCTAACCCTAACCCTAACCCTAACCCTAACCCTAACCCTAACCCTAACCCTAACCCTAACCCTAACCCTAACCCTAACCCTAGGCGGCGAGGGCGGAGGCGAGGGCGGCGGCGACGGTGGAGGTGAGACGCGCGGGAATCATACTGTGTAGGGTGCTGATTGTGAGCTGAGTGCATGGGTGTATGGGGTTCAGAAATTTGTGGCGTCGAGGTTTGTGCATTGGTGGCTGGCGTAGCGGTCAGAGGTTCGCCTTCGGGCCGGTTGGCTGCGGGTTCGAGGCCGGGCGGGGGGGGGAGGGGGGGCACACCTCACCCTCACCCCTCACCATCCTCAAATCCTCGAATCATCGAGATCATCGAGAGCGTCGTGAGCGTTGATTCCGTGCTGATTTTTGCGCGCGAGCGTCGCGATTTTTGGTCTGGTTGGTCCGTCGTGGCCGGTGCGCGGGAAACTCGCCGAAAACCCGCGCAGCCGGCCGATTGTACGACCGAGGTCGCTGAGCCTTGGCGACGCGGCGCGCGCGTCGCCAAGGAGTTCGTAAAATGTCAGAGTTTTTTCTCCGACCGGCCTATACTACTTACTAGCGTTGCAGAGGCCGCGGAGCGCGAAAGCCGAAACTCGCCGTAATACTAATACTAAGCCTAGCGCAGCGCGAATTCGCCGTCTGAGCCTAGCGCAGCGCGAACTCGCTCCTGTTCATAGCTGCGCAACCCTAGCCGAGCTCCATTTTTTGACTTGGCGCGGATTTCGTGACCGAACGCACGTCCAATGCTGCACAACCCTAGCTTAGCTCCAAAACTCACCCCTTAGCCCCACCAGCACCACTCCCAATGGCACTGCTTCCAGCCACCCCGCTTGCCTCGCCGCACCGGCTGCCGCTGGCTCGCACCCGCTGCCGGAGCCCACCGCCACTAGCCACCGGCGACCTCTCCCCGTCATCTCCAGTCCCATCTTCGTCAGCCGCACCAGAAGCGGCCGAAGCAGCCCTGGCGTCGACAGTGGCTTCACTCGTCGCTGCAGCAGCCACCGCCTTCTCCCCTCCCGCTACAGCCGCCGCCGATGCGTCCACTGGGCCGGCCAGCCCGGATGCCGGCGCCGTTCCCTCCGCCGGTCTGGCTACCACCGCGGCCGGCACCGTCGCCGCGGCTGGCGCCATCGCCGCGGCTGGCGCCGCGGCCGGCGCCGCGGCCGCGGCCGCGGCCGGCGCCGCCGCCGCCGCCGCCGCCCGGGCTGGCCGACAGACTGGTGCCGGGACCCCGACGTCGACCACGAGGCGCTCCGCCTCCTGTAGCAGCGACCCGGAGACGCGCGTGACGCCGAGATAGATGAGCCAAAAGGTGCGCACGATGCCGACGACGATGACGAGCACGAGGACCGAATCGTGCTGGCCACGGTGCCACAGCACGGGTCCCATCATGCCGAGGGTGAGGAATCCGCTGAGGCCGATGAGCGAGAGCGAGGCGAGCAAGTAGGGCGGGTCGACGCCGATCCAGGGCAGCAGCGCGCGCTCGTCCGTCCACTCAGCGCCGCTCAGCTCGCCGCTCAGCTCGCCCAGCACGGGCAGCTGCAGAAAGTCGAGCTGCGCGAGCGACGCGCCAAAGTAGCGCCGGTCGATGGTCTGCGCGGCGAGCGAGCCGGCCGCGAGGAGAAGGAGGAGAGCCGCGGCGGTGAGAAGGTGGAGGACGAGGGCCGAACGGAGGACCTGCGCCGCCCGAGCGAGAATGGGTGAGGGAGCCAACGCGACAGAGATGAACCGCACCACCCGCATCTCTCCGGGCCTCGCCTGCGCGTACAGCGCGCGTCGGAACGAGTAGCGGTAGAGGCAATTGTCGCACTGGTAGTAGGAGCGCGGGTTCGCCGACGTGCGCCTCCAAGTGTCGATGCACTCGAGGTGGACAAACCGCATCGAGCCGCTGCAGAGGCACGGGGATACGAGCTTGCCCATCTCGGCGCCCGCGAAACAGATGCGACACACTGGCTCGTCGCCGTCGCCACCGCCGTCCGCACCCGCCGCCGTGCCGATCTGGGCCCCCGACGGGCCGCGCCGGCCGCCGCGCTCGCGGTACTCGGCCTCGCGCTCCCGCGCCCTCAGGTGCCATCGCAAGTAGCAGCACCAGCCGCACAGCCCGAGCAGCCGAAGCCAAAACGCCGAACTGAGCCACTGCACAGCAGCCTCGGCCCAGCCGAGAGCCCCGTCGAGGAGAGAGCCCTGGCAGCGCCACGGCAGCTCGGGCGGAGGCGGCGGCGGCGGCGGCGGCGGCGGCGGCGCGCGTTTCGGCGGCGGCGCGACGATCATCCTCACCTGCAGCGCGGCGCGCATCTCCTGCGCAGACGTGACGGCGCCGCGGACCGCCGGGGCGCCGTTGAGGGCGAGGATGACTTCGCCTACAGCCGTGCGTCGCGCAACTCGAGAGAGAGAGAGGGGCCGCGAAGACCGCGAGACGCCATGCAGAGGCTGCCTGCGCGCAGTCCGGCCGCCGCCGCAAGCGAGCCGGGCTCGACGTACTCCACCTGCAGCGCGCCGTGGCTCGTGGCCGAAGCGGCCTCGTCGGGGGAAGAGCCGAACCTCGCCGGCGGATCGGAGCGGAGGGAGAGCCCAAAGGGGACGTGCGCCTCTGGCTTCGTGAGCACCACCTCCCTCGCCCCTCCGCCCGCCTGTGCGCCGCCCTCAGCCCCGCCGTCCGCCGCCCCCTCCGCCGCCTCCTCGCCGTCGCCGGGGTCGGCGGGCGCAGAGCCAGCCGCCTCCGAGCCGGCAGCGCTGCCTTCGGGTGGCGGCGCCGAAGGCAGCGCCTCGGAAGGCAGCGCCTCTGTGACAGCCTCGCCTCGCGACTCGTCGAGCGGGTTAGGGTCAGGGGTAGGAGAAGGCAGCGCCTCGCCTCGCGACTCGTCGAGCGGGTCGCAGAGCCAGCCGCCTGTGGGGCATGTCATGGACGTGTCGTGGACGTGTCCCGCGCCGCCGAGAGCGCCGCAGAGCAAGGCGCCGTCGGCCAGCAGCGGGCGGAGCGAGCCGAGGAGCGACGCGCTCAGCGACGCCGCCTCGTCCAGCAGCAGCAGCGGCGTGGCGCCGTACGCGGCGAGGGTGGCCGCCACCCGGACGGGCGTCGGCGCGGTGTCGACGTGCCGCAGCAAGTTGACGGTCAGGTAGACGGCAGGCACGTGCACGGCCGCAAAGGTGGGCAGCGTGTAGAGCAGCTGCCGCCCGATCCCCACGAGCCCGACGGTTGCCGCGGCGAGCGGCACGAGGAGCCCGGGGGCGCCGTCGAGCAGAGCAACCAGCCGCGGGTAGGAAGAGCGAAACGCGTCGGTCGCCGCGGCGGCCGTATCGCGAGAGCAAACCACGGCCGCCGCCTCTGCGCCGCCTCCGCCCTTCGGATCGCCGCTGCCGACCTGCTCCTCGCACAGCATCGAGAGGGCGAGCCCAACTGGCCGGTGCGCGGCGGCGGCGCCAAAGAGACTCCCAGACTCGACCTCGACCTTGGTGGTGCGGAGCGGGAGCACCGGCGCGTGCTCGTACTGCCAATACTGCCCAAAGTGCGGCGTAAAGCCCTGCAGCACGTGCACCTCGCCCGGCGAGATGGCCACGCTCGCGCGCAGCCCCAGCATCCGCCTGCGCACGGCTGCGCGCTCCTCGCCGCCGTCGCCACGCGCCGCGGGCGCGACCAGCCCCGCCGACTCGAGCGCCTCGCTGGCGACGAGCGCAATGGCCGGCGTGCGCCGCACGTCGAGCGCCGAGCGGCCCCGCCCCTCCGCGCCGCGCCGCGCGTCCTCCGCGAAGCGGAGGCGGTACAGGTATCGGCGCACGTCCTGGTGCGGCCTCGCGTCGAGGACAGAGGTGCGCTCCCAGCCGGCGCCCCAGAGGAGGGAGCGGAGGCCGCGCCGCGCCTCGGCCTCCTGGCCGGCGGCAAACTCATTCACGAACGGGTACGGGTCGAGCAGCCGGTCCTCGTCCTCGCCGAGCAGCGGCGCGCACACCCTCGCCGGCGGAGCGCCAAACGGCGGCGGGAGGTCAGAGTAAAAGAGGTCGTACAGCAGCGGCGGCAGGCGGAGGAGGATGGGCGTGAGCTCACCCTCGCCTGCGGACGCGGCGCACCAGCTCGCGCCGTCCGTCTCCCAGCACACGAACTCGTCGTCGTCCGCGCCTGCCTCCTCCTCTGCCACGTCGCGCGCGGGTGCGCCGTCGGCAGCCGGCGCGATTGGCCGGATCTGCGCGCTGGAGCCGTTGAAGATGAGCTCTATCCCCCGCGGGAAGAGTACCTCCGCCTGCTGCAGCGCCGCGCCCACAGAGAAGGACGCGAGCGCCGGAAGGAGCCTCGCCACGCACGCAATCGTCGTCGGAATTGAGAGGAGAGCAGAGAGGAGGACGAGGTGGAGGAGCGCGGGGCAGAACGAGACCTCGCCGGGCCGTCCGCCGCCGAGCTTCTGAGCGAAGAAGGAGGGGCGGAGCGGCGCAAGGACGCGCAACATTGTGTTTTCGCAGCGCGAGCCGACCCCAAAGCGAAGCGCCAGGAAATACCTTTTGTAGGGATTCTACTGAGCTCAGAGCTGTACACGGAGCGAGGGTCTGTACCAAGGCGTACAGGAACGATACAAGCAAGACTACATCAGCCAAGCCGCGGTTGAGCGGACGTCCGACAAACAGAGCAATAAGCAAGCCGGCCTGACACGTCCCGCACATGTCCCTGTTCACACAGACATCTCGCTACTCGAGTATAATCGACCCCTGTTAAGTGACTCGTTCGCTTACCACCCACTGTGATTTTGTGTGAGCTCTGTGTCTTGCTTTGCCAACAAGATACCTCGAGCGCGGTATGGGTGGACATGCCTGTTGAGAATTCTTTCTCGATCCATAAAAAGCGGGAGTGCTCGTTCGCGCGAAAACCGACCGAAATGTTTAACATGCTCCGAGCTGCTTGGGATACGCTCTGCGTAACCTCGCAGCAGGGCCGGCGTTTTTTCGCGCAGTCCACGCCGGCGATCGAGTGCCGTGAGGACGTGCTTCTGTCGCCGCCGGCGCCGCGGGTGTTGCAGTTCTCGCCGCCCACCGACCACCAGCTGAAGCGCTCCGGAAGGAAGCTCAGGGGCTCAGGCAGCAGCTCGGGCGCGCCTTCGCGCCAGCAGCGCACTGTCGCGCCGTCGCAAGAGCAGCACCGCCGCAGATCGCGGCGTCCGACGCGTCAGGAGCTCATCGCGGGACAGCACCCACCGGCGCCTCTCCCGGCCATCACAAAGCGCAGGCCCGCGATGAAGCGCTCGTCGCAGCAGCAGCCCAAGCGGCCGCCTTCGCGCCGATCCCCGCAGCCGTCGGACAGGCCGGCGCCCCTGCGCCGGCGGTCGAGCCGCGTGACCGCAGGCGGCGAGGGAGGACCGGCGCAGCCTTCTCCCGAGCCGGCCTCACTGCCGCCGGTGGACAGCGGTGCGTGCCTCGACGACGGAAGCTCTATCGTCGCCGAGCCCGTCGCGCTGCCGGCGTCGTCCTCCCCGCCGCCGCCGCCGCCGCCGCCGCCGCCGCCGCCCCCGCCCCCGCGCCCGCCACCGGCCAGGGTGATGGCGGCACTGGCGTCCCGCGGCCGCCGCCGCAACCTCCCCATCGCCAAGCGCCGTGGCGCCGTCAGTCACGCCCGCGCGAGGCTCTCGCGCGGCTACCTCGCCACGACCGCCGCGGCGGCGAGGATCCTCGAGGCGGCACCTGCCCTCGACGAGGGCCCGACCCGCACGGCGGCCCATGGCGCTGCTTGCACTGGCCAGCCCGCGGCGGGTTCGACCGAGGAGGTTCTGATCGAGGAGGGAGCGGCGGAGGAGGAGGCGTCGCCGCAGTGGCTCGACGCCGAGCCGTGGCCTGCCAAGGCCTCGTCGCTGCGTTTCGGGTCGCTGCGGTTGGAGTCCCTGCCTCCGCTTCCGCCGGCGGTGGTGCGCGCCCTCGCATCGCGCGGGAGCAACTCGCGCAAGCGGCCGGCAGCGACGCAGCTCCGCCCGCCCGCCCGCAGCCACTCCTCGCGCGGCCGCCTGGCGGCGCTCGGCGTAGCCGCGTCCTCTCGGGCGATGGCCAGCGCCGTCCTTCCCTCGGTTGCCGGAGCTGCTCCCGATGTCGCGGCTGCAGAGGCTGGCGAGGACTTTGGCTCGGGCGCGGAGGCGGCAGAGGCGGACGAGGCGTTGGAGGCGCAGGCGGCCGCGGGGGAGGAGCGGCCGTCGGAGGCGGTGGAGCAGGCGGTGGAGGCAGAGGAGCAGGCGGCGGCGGAGGCGGAGACAGAGCAGGCGGAGGCGGCGGCGGCGGCGGCGGCGGCGGAGGCGGAGGCGGAGGCCGAGGCCGAGGCCGAGGCCGAGGCGGAGGCGGCCAATGCGGCAGCAATCGCCGCATCGGCGGTGGAAGAGGCTGCTGTCGCAGCGATGGCGGTAGAGGCGTCGTCAGTCGCCGTGGCATGGTGCGCGCAGGAGGATGTCGGCGGCGCACCGCAGCCGGCAGCGCGGCGCCTCGTGCGCAAGCGCAACGTGAGCTGGGCGAAGAGCGACTCGCTGTGCAGCATCCGCTTCTACGTGCCCGAGGAGGAGGGAGGCCGCCCGCTCGACTCTTCGCCCGCCCCGACGCCGCCCGAGAGCCCGACCAAGCGCGCCAAGCGGCACGCGAACGGCTGCTTGATCAACTCGCCCCCGATGCGCAGCCGCAGGGAGTCGCAGCCCGGCCTCCTGCTCGCCAAGCGGACTGCGCGGCACCTACAGTGGGCGCAGCTGCAGCGGAACGCCCCTGCCAAGCGAGGCGGCCCATCGAACTCACCGCCGCACCGGCCGACGAGCCGTGGCCAAATCGCCGCGCAACTAGCGGCGGCGGCGAGCGCGCCGGATGTGGACCCTTCCTAGGAGCAAAGGAGGCGGAGGCCTCTGCTCGAACCTTTACTCTCTGATGCGGGATCCGCCGCACCATTCGCGTCGCCAGCGCCGCCCACGAGGATCTTGCACGCTGGCGCACTGCGACGCGTGCGAGCACGTGGACACCGGTGTGGGATGAGTGTGGCGGCGACGGCCGACGCGTGCATGGCCATTGTCGATGTAATGCATGTATGTGTCGTCCTTTTTCACATGTCGAATGGGAAAAACGTCAGCAGTAGACAGTAGGCGTACTCCAGACTCCTAACAACTAGCGGCACTGGACTGCGAGTGGAGGGAGGAGGCTGACCAGAGGCTGGCCGTGGCCCTCACCCGTGCTCGCGTCGCCTCGTTCGCGCTGGTCGCGCGCGCCTTTTCGCCCGCGTTCTTGCGCGGGGGTGCATTACGGGGTGCGGCAGCCTCTGCGGTAGCCTTGCGGCGGCTCTCTGACGGCCGCAGGCACGAAGCGCGTCTCTCCACGTCCCATGCGCAGCCAGTGAGGCGCGAAGCATCCCACCACACCAAGTCGCCGCGAGCGAGAGCGCAAGCCCCGGCAGACAGATTTGAGCCAGCCAAGCGAGGGAGGGGATCCCGGCCGGGCTGTACCGCGACGCCGGCCTTTGCCGATCTGCTCTTTGGCTGGCTGCGCCGGGTGGCCTTTGCTCTGCGGCGGGAGTCTATCACGACTGCTGCCCGCGCACGCTGCGCCGCCGCCCTCGCCGCCGGCACCGGGGGGAGCGTGCTGGCCTTGTCAACGTTGTGCGGTCGGATGCGGTTCGCGACCAGTTCCAGCTGCGACTGCCTGTATGTCCGGAGCGCAACGAGATTGACTTCCGCGCTTGTGCCAGGCTGCGCCCGCCACGGCTTGAGCCGCTGCGTGAGGCGATCCCAGGGCTCATACGGGAGTGAGAGGGCGCGCTCCAGGAGCAGCACAGAGCTCTGCACGGCACCGCCGGTGCCCGTCCCCGAGAATATGGACCTGAGCACGCTTCCAAGGCCGGTTCGTTCGGCCCAGTCCCTCCAAGGGTTGGGCTCCACACCAGCCCGCTGCTGCTTGCTCGGTCGCGATGGTTCTCGCTTGGCGGTGCGTGGCTTTTGACGCTCACGGGGAGGTTGCTGTCGCTGCGCGGCGAGCTCATCTCCAGACCAGCCGGCAAGAGCGGCATCCAGCTGGCGCAAGCGCTCCAGAATGGGTCCCAGGGATGATGCGGCAGCGGCCGACGGTGCATCAACAGGCGCAGCGTGTCTCGATCCCGCCGTTTCGCAAGTGCCCTCGCGGGCGTCGTTGCAACCACTGGCTTCCAAGCGCTCGAGCGCGTTGAAATCGTCGTCGAGCGATTGGGCCTCGTCGGCGAACTGCTGAGCCTGCCGCTGGGCGTACCCGCGTGCATTTGCGTCGGCATCGGCGTAGAGCCGCTGCGCCTCGAGCTCCTCCGACGCCTCAGCCTCGATCGCTGCCTTTGCCTCTTGGTCGTGCTGCTCGAGCAGCGTGTGCGCCAGTGTGCTCGCCGCCCTTTGGATTTGTGCGCTCGTCTGCTCGTCCGCCTTGGCCGCCAGCGCCTCCACTTGCTCTCGGTCCTTGTCCCCACGGCAGCGCTCTGCTGCCAGCCGGCGCGCATCGACCACCGCGGCTGCGGAGCCATCGGATCGTTCCGCCTCGGCTGCTAGCTCCGCCTTGGCCGCAAGCTCCGCCTTGTGCTTGCTCGCCCGAAGCCGCTCGGCCGCCATTCGTCGGCCCTCCTCCGCTCTGGCCTGGGCAGCAGCGGCAGCTGCCACCTCCGCCGCCTCTACCGCGGCTGCCTCGTCCGCGCTCAGAGCCGGAGGCCGTCTGGGGAGCGATGGCTTGCGGCTTGCGGGCCGCGTCGATGGCGCGGGTGCCTGCTGGCAAAGCCCGGCGGAGCTCGCTGGCGAAGGACTGCCGTCCGAATGCGCTGATTTCTCCTGCGGGGTGCTTTGGCTCGGACGATCGAGGGAGGCCTCTTGCTCAGTCACTGCATCGGGCAAGGAGAGCCCGAGGCGGGCGCGGAGCTCATCCACTGAGCGCTGCTGCCGCTGATCCTCAGCCACAAACTCGGACGGCACATCGATGGTTCGGCGGGGCATAAGGTCTGCCCCTGTCCTCTCCTGCGTGCTCTCCCCATCCTCGTTGCCGTCCGGAATGGCGGCCATATATCTGTGCGCCGGCGCGTGAAACGTCTGAACCAAAATTGTCACGCCGCTGTAATGAGCGCATGTGTGTGAGCTGTGAGCTGCCGTGAGGGTCCGCCCGCAGATCCGCAGAGGCATTTTGTGTATCCCGAGTCGATTGGTGTGTAGACGCCAACGACTGGGTGAGCCATCCTGTGTGTAATTAATTGCGACACGGATCTCGCGATCCCGATAATCGCAAAAAAATCGGGCCGTCGGCGTCGCGGCTGTGCCGCCGCTACTTGTGCCGCCGCTGCCACACATGATGCGACATGGTGTCACATGAATCTCGCACTCCTTCTCCACACTCCAGAAGAAGGAGCAGAGAGAAATTCAAGCGAAATCAGACTCTCCCGAAAATGGCGGAAAAAACTAATCGCGTGTAAATCGTCACCGTATGTGTCCTATCCTTTTCCCTCCCTCGCGAACCCCAGCGGCGACTCGCCGCAACGCGGACAAGCCGGCCTCGCCTGGTGCAAGCAAGCCGCGGCCAGGCAGTAGTGGCAAAAGGCACAGCCACACGCCGCGGTCCGCGGCGCGTGCATGGGCGCGGCACCGCAAAACCCGCAGGCCGCGAGAGCCGCCCGCGTCGGCGCCGCGTCGCCCGAGGAGCCCGCCGGGCCGTCGGCGGGAGGGTGTTCTGGCGTCACACGCAGCGGCTGTGGCGCTGGCTGCGCCGACGGCGCCGCCAGCGACCTGCGGAGAGCCTGGAGCGCGGCGGCGAGGTCTGCCATGGTGCGCCAGGCGAGCTCCTGGTTCATAAAGGAGAAGTCCGGCCCGCGCGGCTCGTGCGGCGAGGCGTACACTAGCCGCAGGCCAAGAAGGGCGAGCGGGAGCGAAGGCGACCCGTTCCCGCGCCAAAGGTGCCTGACGGCTGCGGCCAGCGCGGCGACCGAGCACGCCGCCTCGAGCCGCTGCATCAGCCGCCACCGCCACAGCCGCAGCTCTGCCGCCTGCTGCGACTCCCCAACGTCACCGCCGTGCGTGAGCATGCGGCCAAGCCGCGCCCACAGGTACGGCAGCAGCACGCCCACGAGAAGGAGGCCCAGCCGCCGAGAGCGCGGGAGCGGCGTGTCTGAGGCAGGCCTGCCGCTCGCGGTGGGCGGGAGGTGGATGGCCGGACCGTACGCCGAGGCGTGTCGCGCCGCCACGCGCAGTCCCTGGTGGGCCTGTCCGGGCGATTGGCCCTCGCTGCCTGCAGACAGTGCCCACATCGCCGTGGCGAGCAGCGCACGCAGCTCCGGCCGCACAAGCTCGCAGGCGGCCGCTCCAAAGTGCGACGCCGCCCGCTCCGCGTAGGCTGACAGCAGCGCCGTCAGCTCGCGGTCAAGGGTGCAGGCGTCCAGCGAGTGGGCGCGGAGGGCGGCCATCGGACGCGGAAATGATCGTGTGTGCAAACCGACCGAGGCTCGCAGCCCCAGGATTCGGGTCTCAGGCCGTCGAGGTGTACCAGACCTGCATGGTTTTTATCACTTGCGCCTGCCTGTGTTCCGGCTCCTACCCGGATAGGGGGTCTGTCGGCACTGGCTGGCCCCTCCCAGATAGGTAGGTCTTGTTTGGCCCAAAAGGGCCCTGCAATCGGTCGGTACAGGATTTTCATCTTTTTTCGCTTCGCTGCGCGGCCCGGGATGGTGGTAGGTAGGGCGTTTAGGCGCGAGTCAGTGCGGACAGACCCCCTATCCGGGTAGGAGCCGGAACCCAGCACTCGCGACTGCCGCGCTCGCCTGCCCGTCTCTGGCGGCGTATATGCTGTCCACCGCCTGCCGCCACGACGCGGACGGCGACCTCGACCCGCCCCGCGGAAGGGAGAGGCCTGCCGTGTCGCTTAGCCGGGCGCTCGACGGCGGCTACCTCGCGTCGAGCCTAAACTTCTCTCACGACCGCATCACCGACGCGACCGGCAAGGCCGTGATGATGCGTTGGGAGGAGCCCATCATGCGCGCCCACGCCGCTGCGCTCTGCTGCGGCGCTCCGTCGCTCTCCGGCTCGGATGTCCTCAACATAGGCTTCGGGATGGGGCTGTTCGACGAGGCAGCGCAGGCCCTCGGGCCTCGTTCGCACACCATCGTCGAGGCGCACCCCGACGTGTGGGCCAACATGCACGCCCGCGGCTGGGCGTCGCGGCCGCGCTGCGCTCTCGTCTTTGGCCGCTGGCAGGAGGCGCTGCCTCGGCTCGGCTTGTACGACGCCATCTTCTACGACACGTTTGGCGAGGGCGTCGCCGAGTTCGACGCTTTCTGCGCGGTGCTGCCCGCGCTGCTCCGGCCCGGCGGCCGCTTCTCCTTCTTCAACGGCTTTTGCGCCCACTCCGCCCGCCTGCACACCTCGTTTGCCATGCGCACGAGCGCGTGTCTCGGCGTCCTCGGCCTGCGGTGCCGCTTCCAACTTGTGCCGTGCGAGCCACCGGGCGAAGAGGGGTGGCGCGGAGTGAGCGGGAGGTACTGGACCTTTGATAGCTACATGCTGCCCGTGGCAACTCTGGACGAACCGTCGGAGTGTCGCGCGGACACGCCGCCGGACGCAGAGCCAGGGGGCCGAGCTGAGGCTGCGCGCAGGCCCAATGGTGCCGATAATGCGAGGGTTGCTGCGCAAGGTTGATGTGTACTGACAGTGCAGGATGCTCGAGGCAGGATGACAGTGGTAAGGGTGACAGGGTGTGCGGTTATAGCTGCGCGCAAGAGAGTCGACAAGAGAGGTGCGGGTGCGCATTCTAGAGTGATGACAGATGAGTGTGTACAGACTAAAAGAAACACGTACACGGCAAAGTTGGTAGTCGCCCTGGCGCACAATAACTCTTGTGCGTTCCTGTACTCACGAGCTTCTGACCTTCTGTGCGGCCTCTCCGCCCCATCCTCTTTGGCTTTGCGCTTGCGGCTTGCGCTGTGCATCCTAGTTCCTACTAGCTTCTATCGCACCGGCTGTCGGAGCATCGCCCAGCTCGTGTACGCGTCATGGCTATCTGTCCGCACGACTTCGAACCCCAGCCGACTGTAGAACCTCACGTTCCGCTCCTCCTGCGTGCTCAGCAGCACCGGAAGGCCTGCGGCGTCTGCCTCCTTCAGCGCAAGCCCGAGAGCATAGCTCCCGATACCCATACCCTGTGCGTCTGGGTGGACCACCATCCGCTCCAGGCGACAAACCGGCGCGTTGCCGTGTGCGGCGATGATTTCTTGCTCGACTCGCTCGTACTCGGCCTTGAGCGAGAGGAGCCGTTTCACCACGCCGGGGCCGAAGAGGAATGGCGCCTGAAGCAGCCCGGTCCGAAGCATGTCGAGCAGGCCGACGTCTGGAACGTTGGGGGTGACGAACATGAAAAAGGCGACAAGTCGTCCGTCGCGAAACACCGCCCGGTTGACTGGACCAGCGGCTCGAATGCGAAAGTTGCGCTCAAAGAACCATTGCAAGAACTGCAGCCGCCAGGCGCGGTCGCAGTCGCCGCAGAGCGCGACATAGGGCGGACTGGTCTCGAAAGCAGCGGCTGCCAGCCGTGACGCCTCACGTAGGCTTTCGGGCGGCAGCGTGCAGAGGCTGAGGGCTTCAGTGGCCGCTTCGTTCATGAGATCCGGGTAGGAGCCGGAACCCAGTGCGCGCCAGTGCAAAAAAGAATTCTTTGCGAAGAATAACGCTAGGGCCCTCAGCGGAGCTGGGAAGAGGACCGCCGCAAGCGGCGTGGCGTGGAGCGGTTGTGCATCCCTCCGGGGGCCCCTCTGCGCCGGGGAGGCGTTGTTGGAGGCTAGGACGCGAGCGTCCGTCGCCCATTTTCAAACTCGGGGCCCACTCCGCTACGCTCCGACCCGAATTTGGAGGGCCTGAAAAGTTTAAGGTGTTGCTGCGGAAAAGGGGTCGGACACAGGGCGCAGCTCATGCTAAGGGCTAGAAGGGGAGATGGAGAGAACAACCACCCTGTCCCGAGATTGCGTACACCAACACCACAAAGCTCTCTCTCTCCTGCTCCTCACACTCAGGGGGCGGTCACGACTACCGAGTCCCAGAGCCTAGCTGCCACGTTCAAAACCAGGACGGCGACAGTGATGGTGCTATCACGGGCATGGTCAGGGGAAAGTGGAGCGGGGGGGGCGAGCGTCAGCCCCAGCCAGATACGGGATAGTAGAGCAGGCGCTTTGTGGGTGGCGGTGGGCGGCGGCGCTGGGTGGCCGGCCGAATCGTTAGCTGAGCTCCTCCCTCAAGCTCGATCACGCATGGCGCACGTAACCTGACAACGTCGGCGTACGGCGAGCTTCTGGATCAGGTTAGGTTGCTGGAGCACCTCCAACTCCTCCTCTGAGTCAGACACGCCAACGTCGACGACTGCGCCCTCCTCCTCCTCCTCCGATTCGCCGACTGCACCCTCCTCCTCCATGGGCGATCCGATTCCGCAGCGTGTCGTCCTCAGCGGCGGTGCTGCGCGGGAGGCGGCCGCGGGCACGCTGGGCTCGATCAGCGGCTTTCCCCTCGTTGCTCCGAAAGCACGGATTTGGCGGACGTTCTTGGCTTCAATTTTACGAATGTCTTTGGCACCAGCTGAAGGCTTGCGTCCGTCCACGGCCCACATCACGCAGTTCGTGCACGGTATTCGGATTTTGCTATTTGTTCGTGTGGGGGTATATTGCAGATTTGTCAATGGTACCGCGTCTGCGACGCGGGCGAAGAAGAAGACTGTGTGACACATTTCTTGTTGGCTTCTAAAAATCTCTCGCGGGCGCCTTGCGGGCAGAGCCCTTAGCCACCCTTTATATCTTGCGCGGTCAATACCTACCGGGCTGTGTTTGTGCCAGGGTTCCGGCTCCTACCCGGATAGGGGGTCTGTGCACACTGACTCGCGCCAAAACGCCCTACCTACCTACCTATCGGAAGCCTATCCCCACGAGGCCGCGCAGCGAAGCGAAAAAAGATGAAAATAGGGGGGGACCTACCTATTGCAGGGCCCTTTTGGGCCAAACAAGACCAACCTACCTACCTATCTGCAATCTGGAGAGGGGCCAGCCAGTGTGCACAGACCCCCTATCCGTACGTTTGAGTGTTGTACAAAAAAGAAATACGGGGTTGTGTGAGGTTCCGACTGCACTCCAAGTGCTCCAACTGCCAGGGCTGCCGGCACGGCCTTTCATTTTCCGGCGTCGTCAGAGCGGTTTTGCTTTGTCCAAGACGCCCTCATGTCAGGCCGCCGGCCCACCGGCGCGGCCGAGGACGAGCGGACGAACCTCCCGCCAGCGCCTCCCGGGCCTTACTTTGCCGCGCCCTTCATCCGCTCGAGCAGGAGCTTGGAGGCGGCAACCATGTCGCTCGCCGGTGGCGCCGTCGACGTCACGCTCGGCCGCTGCACCACCGCATCGAGCCACGTCGCCAGCCGAGCCAGGCCCAGGGCCTCGAGCATCGAAGCGGGATCGTGCTGCGGCCGCAATGCCGGCAGCACGCGCATCAGGCGCAGCGCGAACGGAGCGCACGCCTCCTCGGCCAGCGAGAAGCTCTCGCCGAAAAAGAAGGGCCCGTCGCCGTCTGCGTACTCGCAGAGAAAGGCGTCGACCGCCCGCATGCCCTCCTCGAGCGCGCGCCGCGCCTCGGCCTCCGCCTCGCTGCCTTCCTCAGCGCGCAGAAGCGGCATGTAGGGCATGGCGGCCGAGTACCGGTCGACGAACAATCGGCATGCCGCACGCCGCTGCGCCGAGCGCGCCTCCGAGGCGGGCCAGCGGTCCTCGAGGTACTCACAGATGACGAGGCTCTCCACAAGAGGCGGAACCCCTCCGCCGAGCTCCTCGAGGATAGGCACCTTAGCTCTGGAGAGCGTCGGGTGGGGCGAGAAAGCGACGGCTTTTGAGTAGACTTGCGTGAAGTTGGCGGGCTTCTCCGCCAGGTTGACCGCGCACCGCTCGTACGGCAGACCCCGCTCCTCGAGCGCGATCGCTGTGCGGTGCGCATAGGGTCAAGACCCGGACGTCCAGAGCCGGAGCTGCGCGGCCGAGCCACCGCTCAGGCGAACAGCGGCGCGCGTAAGGGCGCCGGCGGCGGCAAGCCGTGGCGCGGCCGTCAACGTGAAGGTGGCGAGGAGCATCCCTATCATTGAAAGTAGCAGAGGGGTCGGACCACACGCTCTCCGAATGGGATTTTCTGCCCTGCCCCTGTCACGGCCCCGCCTGCCTCCCGGAGGCCCGCCCGGCCATGCAATCCGCCGCCGGACCGCCCGGCGGGTCCAACCCGAAGCGGGCGACCGGCCGTTCGCACCGCTCGGCCGACGGGGCAAGCCCCGCGGCCCTCGATCGCTCGCCCCGGGAAGTGGCCCGACCGGCCCACGCGCACGGCCTGGCCTCTACCGCCACTTTCGGCGGCGCAATCTGCGCCTTCATCGCTCTCTGGATCGTCCTGGCACCCATCGGACTCCTCCCGACGGTCGGCGGCGCCCACTCCGTGCACTTTGAGTCAGACTCGCTCTTCGGCAGGCACGCTCTTCGGCAAAAAGTCGCCGCCGGCTGTCCACGCCGAGCCAGCCAGTTGCCGGCTCGCACGGCAGCCTCTTCCTCTCGACCAGCCTCAACTTCGACACGGTCATCATTTTGTCGTGCTCGTTGCGAGCCGGGCGGCGGTCAAAGTTTGCCCAGACGAGCGCTAGGCGATAGTCCCGTCTCTGTTCGCCCTGTGCATGTCAGGCCAGGCTGCAGCGGGGCACGACCATCGTGCTGCCCTGTTGCAGCCTGACGTTTCCCACTGTGCACAGCCGCCAGAGCACCACCACCGCCCGGCATCGTGTCACGGCGAGCTCCTTCTGCACCCGTTCGCGAGGCTCTTGCGCTGGCACACTTCGGCCTTCCGCTGCTCGCGTTCGGCGAGCTCTTCTCCGCACTCCTGCCACGGTGCCGTCGCCACACACCTTCTGGCCGGCCTGAGCCACGCGGACTCGACCTCTCTCCCTCTCTGGTGCACGCCACGGGCCGCGACGGCTGCTGGCAGCCGGCCGGCGTTGCCGGCACAGTCGAGCTGGAGTATCCGCTTCTTGATGCTTCTGCGGTCAAGCTTGACCTTATGTGACATGATATGCCACAATACTGCATGCTCTCACCCCTCAAAGTGTCGAATTTTTGTTTAGTACTGGTGACCCGACACCACGTGACACCGGTGGCCCGATAGGACCGTGTGCCTTTCTTCAAACGAACAGGCTTCGAGGTTCGACAATCGCTAAAAGCTGCTTTTGGGGCACCGCTGCGACTCCATTGGGGATGCCTGAGGCCACCCCAAGCACTCCCCAAGCCTTACGTGGACGAATTCAACCCTACTTTTTGTTCGTCTACCCACATTAGCAACTTCGTGCTCATGTCAACGCCACGCTAGCCATTCAACCCCGCCCCCATTGGGGGCGGGGCCCTTCAAGGGCCTAACTCTAGTACAACACATATGAGCAGCGGGATTCGGTACTTCAGGTTGGTATAGTATCATTGCATCCTTCTCGAGGGGGTATCAAGGTATGCTCTAGGCCTCTGTGGGGACTATCTCGGCTGGGTATCAAGGTATCATCGGCGGCCGCGCAGCGAAGCGATAATTCACACCTCGCACCGAGGACCGAGCCCTCCCGCATGGTCCGCCCCGGTATCATTCAAACTCTTTGCGCTTCCGCCGTATTCGCGCGCCATTAGCGCCCTCCTCGCCCAGCGCATTGCTTAGTGGTGCGCTCGCCTCCCTCCTGTGCGACGCTCACTCGAGCGCGTTGTCTGTCTTGGCGCGCGCGCAGGCAGCGCGCGAAGAGGTGTGAAGAGGGGGGTCGTGTCCGGTGTGAAGGGTACCCACCAGGGTATCAGCGTATCCTCTAGGGGCCCAATGCGGGTCCTCTCAAGAGGGTATCAGGGTATAGCCCTGGGGTATGATCTGGGATACAATGATACTATACCAAGCTGAAGTACCGAATCCGGGCACCACAGCGCACTTGCAAAAGAATTTTGCAACCCCGAACGCCCGCACGACACTAGGCGGCTCGAGAGCTTGCCGCGAGGGGCGGTCGAGGCCTCCGTTCGGCTGATGCGCGGTTACAACCGCACGGGCGAGTGGCCAGAGCCCATCCTCACCAGCCCTGCCCCGCAGCGCGGCCGCTCGCCAAGCCCCGTCGATGAGTGGTCAGATGGTTAGTGCCCGAGAGCGAGGGGTCCGGGGGGGAGCACAAACATAACAAACTAAAAATCTCTCTCAAACATAGGACGCCCAGCCTTGCCCTCGTGCCGCCGAGTGCATATCCTATGCGAGAGAGATCCCCTGTGCCCTGTGCCCAGCCCTCTCCGCGCGGCGATGCGCCCTCCCCCCTCGCTTTTGCAAAATCCTGCAAAGGTGGGGACGTGTCTGTCCTCGAGCTCGACCCAGCCCTAGCTTGGGATGTCCGTTGTATTTATTTATTTATTACACTAGGCGGCGGCGTCGCAGGACGAGGCAGAAGAGAACGACGCGACAGAGGAGGAAGTGACAAGGGAGAGAACGACGAGAGTGGGACGACCGCGAGGTGGCATGAAGGTTGCAGCGAGAAGCGGCGAGAGACTGCGAAGAGAGATAGGAAGAGGCAGACTCCCTAGGGTGGGCGACGGCTAGCGCACCACACCCCTCTCCTTAAAATCCCTGTGTGGTGGCGGCGTGCCGTCCTCCCATCCCTCCCTTGGGCTGTCCGTTTTCTTTCTTTCTTTCTTTTAGGCACGGGACTGGCGCGCACTGGCACTAACACAGGTACAAAAAGAATTTCCACAGGGGCCTGATCGTCCTTCCAAAATCCTGCTCGTGCAGGAGGGGACCCTGTCCTCCTCCCGTCCCTCGTTTGACTTGTCTTGTCTGTTTTCTTTTCTTTACACTAGAAGCGAGTCTACACAGCTCACAGGCACGGGACGTTAAGAAGTGGCCCCGCGAGGTGGGATTAGGACCGTCCTTTCAAGATCCTGCTCGTGCAGGTGGGGTTGCTTCTCGCTTTTCTGCTCCTGTTTCTGTCCGCGGCTCGCGTCCACCTTGTCGCCTCGAGACCCTGGCCATCACTACGCGCGCGACGCCGGTGCTACTCTCGCATTTCAACCATCAACGGGACGAGGGTGCAGGGAGGGTGGTCCAGGGGGTGGTGGGTACCCTGTGAGAGGCCCTGTCTCGAGGTCCTCGGGAGAGGGGCTGCTGAGGTTGGAGTTAGAGGTCCGCGCGGCATCGTCTGTCTTCCACCCCCCCCCCCCCCCCCAAGGGAGCACCCCGGAGCAGCAGGATGATGACGAACCGGGAGATTGAGCGAGGTATCATCAAAAAGTTGGACGTCCTCCTTCGGTACCACATGCCCAGCCGCGCTGTCAAAGCTGTCCTCAAGGGTGGGTCGGTGGCGGCCGCCCTTGGTGGCCTCGCCGTCACGTTCGCCTCGCCAGCCACGGTCGTGCACGCCCAGGCCGAGAAGACGGCTGCCGGCACGGCTCCCGCGCAGGCGCAAGCCGCCGACGTCGCCGAAGACGTGGCGCACTTCATGGAACACTTTGGCCGCACGGCTTCGCCGTGAGGGGGGGGCTGCTGGCGCTGCGAGGACGTGTGATCGGCCCTCTCCACAGGTCGTCAGGCGCCGGCAGCTTTGGGCCATGGGTGGTGCGTGATTCTCGTGCTGCTGCCTGCAATGCGGTCATGGCTCGTCCCCGGTCGCGCTCATGCGCGGCTATCTGCGCGTGACCATCGCGCGAGGTTGGACGAAGCACCCACTCTAATCCATCGTGGCGTGATGTGATGCAAGCCAAGCCAAGGTGCCTCTGGTTCGTCACCCGTCTCACTCTGACCCGTCTCTGGAGAGTCTCGCACCCTACCAGCGGTCGGCGCGTCGGCCAGTGGTCGCAGCCAGTCGCCTGTTGCCCCTGTTTTGTTTTTGGCTTTTCTCGGTCGCGTTCCACCTGAGTAGAAGCCTCCATCGACGGAGAGAAGGACCGCGCCCGCCGCACACCGGGCGGCTGCGCGCGTCGTTCGCGGCGCGGGCCGCGCGGGCGCCCGCGTCACAGGGGCGGGGAACCCGCAATTGAGATGCTGAGGCAGGCATCTGAAATTGCCCAATACGATTTCCATTCTAATCTCGATTGCCTCGAGCATCCCAAGATGCATGAAGCAATTCAGGATGCGCAACAGCGCACGGCGTCGGCCGGAGGCATGGCCGGAGGCCAGCTCACGAGGCGGGGCCCGGCCGGCGCGGTCGGGGCGGGCGCAAAAACCGGTCTCAGACACATACAGCCGCGGCAGCGTACGAGTAACACGCGCACCCCGCGGGGATGGGGGCCAACCGCACATGCGTCGTGCGTTTTGGTTCAAAAAGCATGTGCTGCTTAAATGCGGCTGCAGAGGGAGTACCGACTGCAACCTCGAGACGGTGCGGCGTGCCGAGGAACCCTGCCGCGCCACTATTGCTGTCGGGAGGAAGTATCTAGGGGCAGTCTACTCGATTTTGAGCACCTCGAGCGTGAAGTCGAGCGTGCCGTTCGGCGGGATTCCCCACGCAGGGAAGCCAGCCGCGCCGTAGCCCTCGGCGCCCGGAATAATCACTTGGCGCTCCTCGCCCAGCTTCATGCCCAGGAGGCCCTGATCCCAGCCCTTGATCACCTGACGCGCGCGCCAAGGCTCAGCGTGGGCTCGACGGGAGAAGTCGCGAGGTAGGCGGGCGCTGCCTGCCCCACGCCGGCCCGGTAGGTGAACGGGTTCTGGCCAGGATCCTTGGTGGACCAGAATTTCTTGCCCGACTCCTTGACGACGCCGGTCGCGTGCACTGTCACCGTTGCACCCTTGGCCACCTCAGCGCCGCTCCCCTCCTTGAGGATGTTGAAGACGGTGCCGTTGCAGCCCGGCGCGGGAGTGCCCATGATGCTGTCGTGCGGGCTGACCTGCAGGTAAGGGCGGCGTGAAATGGAAGGGCAGTGTGCACGGTGGCAGCGGCGGCTGTGATAGAGCGCTGCGGCGGCGTCGGACGTACGGGCAACGGCGTCGTGTCAGGGAGCGTGCTCGTCGCGGCGCCTTGCCTCGAAAAAAAGAATTTAGCCGTCCCGACACCCTGCAATAAAAAATCCCTCAGGCCCCGTACGACCAATTGAATGATGGTGCGCTCGCTCGCCCCGCCCGTGCCCGCGGCGGCCCGCGCGCGCGCGCGCGCGCGGTAGTAGGAGTAGGCTGCGGGTCGTATCACGCCGGTGGTTCACCACCGGTTGCTGATCCTCGGGAGCACCGATCGACTGACAGCGCGCGCGCACGCCAGATCCAGAGCAAGGCCAGCCTGCCAGCGCGGCTAGACGAGGTGCTGCCCGCTGAGGCCCGAGCACGCGAGGAAGCGCGAGACGGGGCGGCGTGTGTGTGGGTCGCGTGTGGGCCGCCCGGCGAGCAAAACGACTGGCGCCGCGCGCGTCGCGTGCGTCATGCAGCAAGGAGGGCGGAGCTCGCAGGATTTCCTGATCGAGGAGCCTGACTCGCAGGAGGGCCTCTCGAGCATGGTCGTGGACGGGGTGGAGGAGGCAAGCTCGCAGGACACCCTGTCTGAGCAGCCCGACTCGCAAGGCAGCTTCTCGAGTATGGACCTGGACGAGGAGGGCGAGGCGGAGAGCGGCCCTGCGCCTGACGAGGCGGGCGAGACGAAGGAGGGCGACGGACAAAGTCGCGGCGCAGGGGGTCCGGAAAGCGGCGGGGCTGGAGGGGGCGGCCCCTCCCCGAACCTCGCCCTCGGGCGTGTCAGAGTCGTCGGCCAGGGAGGCCGGACTCCCGCAGGGCACCTTCGGGTGGATCTCAGTAGAGCCGGCAGGCACCCCGAGCTCGCGACGCCCTTCACGACTGGAAGGGCCAGGGAGCGCACGTGCTTTGATCGCAGGGGGCACCATGGAGGGTGCACCTGCGCCACGGAGGCACTCCGGGCGGCGTATGCAATGTGGGGGGAGGGCCGGGGAGATGCTGCCTCGGCGCGCGCTGCCGCGACGCGGCACGGAGTCGACCGGGCCACGCCGGCGAGGGAGATGCGCTCCAGCGAGGGTCGCGTCCTTGAAACCGCCGACGCGTTCCTGGACGACAAGGCCGATCGACTCTGGAGGACACGGTCGGCGGCGCTTCGCGAATTGGCACAGAAGGTTCGAGACGGCACGGATCTTGTGCTCCTATGCGCGGGTAGGATTGAGTCCTGTCACGGCGATCTGCTGAGGAAGGGGATCCTAGCCGACGCGGCGCAGCTCGAGGCCACCAGCAAGAAGAAGCCGCGCTCCGACAAGGGCAAGCCGAGGGGTCCTCGGGGGCCTAGGGCCGACTCGGTGGAGACGGCGGCCCGCATGGGGGTGCTGTCGACCTTCTACCTCCGGCACGCTTATGGACGGGACAGCCCGGGGCTGCATGAGGAGGACGGGGTGCTCTCCGCGAATGGGGGGGTTCTGTGTGCGGGGTGCGGGGAGGAGGCGCCCGGGCTCGGGGCGCGGGACGGGGAGGGGGGAGGCGGCGGTGGGGGCGGCGGGGGGCGGGAAGGAGGGGGCGCCGCGGGGGAGCGGGGGAGGAAGAGGGGGAGGGATCCGACTGAGGAGGAGGCGGTGGGGGTGGAGGGTGGGGAGGAGGGGGGCGTGTTTGGGGAGATGGGGGATCGGGAGGGGCGGGTGGAGGAGGGTGGCTCCTCCGGGGGAGCGGGGGGGAGGGGGGTGAAGAGGCGAACTCCGAGGCGGAGGGAGCAACCGGCGCGCAGCCAGAGGGAGTCCGGGCGGGTACGGGGGGAGGCTGTCTGAAGTGATCCGGGTGGCCTGGGCGGACTTCGGTCTCTGTGTGTATAATACGTCTACGTGTTGCTGTGAGTCTTTGTGTGTGTAATACGTCTACAAGTTGCTATGACTGCAGTCTTCGCCCATCTGAGCCCCCCCCCCCCCTCCTTTGCGCCCCCCGCCTCGAGCGCCCTACCCCCCCCCCCCCTCCCTTCCTCCCTGCCCCGCCCCCGCCGGTTTCCTCTTCTCCCCTTCCGGCCCAGCTCCACTCATCCCTCTCTCGCCTTCTCCTGCAGGTGCAGGGGAGATACGAAACGAAAATTGATGGGCGCTTGCCCATCCCGGAGTGGTTCGACCCCACATAAATCCGAGACGGTGACGGGATGCTGTCGTACGGTGGTCTCAGGCCCAGTGAGGTAGTGCATCTGACTATCCCGGATCCTGCTGAACAAGCTCCTCTTGTAGCTCGATCGGTCACACCGCCATCGCCGTCGGGGAGAGGGGGGACGACACTGCTTCGGCAGCGTGCACCTCGATCCTGTACCATGTTTGTTATGACCCCCCCCAATGAACACACCAGTGAGGGTGGGCGAGACGATCGAGGGGTCCCGTACCATGCGGAACCGACCCTATCCAGTGCTCAAGTGCTCAAGGAGGGCGGAGCTGCGCCGAAAGGCGAAAGAAGCCGCGAGAACAAGGGACCGGCAGGCGGCGGCGGCGTCGCAGAACGAGGCAGAGGAGAGCGACGCCGACAGAGGAAGAAGCGACAAGGGAGAGAACGTAGAACGACGAGAAGGGGGCGACCGCGAGGTGGCACGAAGGTTGCAGCGAGAATCGGAGAGGGACTGCGAAGAGAGATAGGAAGAGGCGGACGCCCAAGGGTGGGCGACGGCTAGCGCACCACACCCCTCTCCTTAAAATCCCTGTGTGGTTGCATGCTTGCATCCCTCCCTTGGGTTTCTGTATCTTTCTTTCTTTCTTTGCAACCCTCTTTCCCTGAAGTGTCGGCCGGGTGTAAGTCTCTTGTTTTAAGAACAAGGGAGCGGACGGGGTGGAACCCCATTGGTTGTTGAGGTACAGTGGGTTGCGGGCATCAAGAAAACAGGATTGCGCGGCACGCCGCCGTTTCTAAGCCTTTCCACAGCCCTCATCCACCCCACGCCGTGGTTTCTTAGCTCCCACGGCCGGGGCACTCAAGCCAGAGCGCCGGCGCCCGAAGGATTTTTAGGTACGAGGTAAGCTAGCTACGGTCCGCGAGGGCGATGCCAGAGTCTGCCGCCGAGCGAGTCGGCTCTCTGTCTGGATGACGGGAAGACGCACACACGCCTCCATTCACTCCATCCACTCAGTCTCAGAACACCGCAGACTTGGAAAGTGACAAGTGCGCGCGCCGCAGGCGAAGAGAAATTTTGAGTGAGCTGGGCCTCCCGTTCACACTCGTGTCTGGCCTTTTCTCGGGGCCGCGCCTGCGGCGCGCCGTGGTTTCTTAGATTTTTGCGGAAATCGCTTGGTAGGGTTTCTTAATGGTACGTTTTCTTAATGCCCGCAACCCACTGTAACCAAATGAAACGAAAATAAAGCGAAGCGCCCGCCGCGCCGCGCCGCAGCAATCTACCGCGTGCGGACTGCCACAAGCACAAGCATGCGAGGCCGCACCGCGCCGCCGCGAGACGGTTTCCGCCCTGCCGCCGGTGGGCGGGGGCGGCGCCGGACCGTGGACAGCAGCAGCAGCTCCGGCAGCTCGTCCTCCGAGGAGGCCGAGTCTCTGGCGGCGGCAAAGCTGGAAGGGCGGCGGCCGGGCTCCGCGAGGGCAGCGGTGGTGCGTGCCGCCGAGGAGCGCGGCGCGGCCGAGGCGGAGGGGCGCGCGGCGGCCGCGGCGCAGATGGCGGTCGAGCACGCGGTGCGAGAGGCGCACGAGGCTTGCCGCCGCGAGCACGAGCGGAGCATGGCTGCCATGAGCCAGAAGCACGCCGCGGCGCTCGAGCGGATGCGCGCCGAGTTGCAGGCCCTCGAGGAGCGCGCCGAGGAGACGGGCGCCGCCCTCGGCGCGGCGACGAAGCGCGCCGCCTCGCTCGACGAGCGGAGGGCGCAGGCCGACGGCGATGCGGCCGCGCTCCACGGCCGGCTCTGCGCCGCAGAGGAGGAGCGAGACGCCGCCGTCGGCGCGCTCTCCGCCTCCCGCGCGGAGGCCGAGGGAGCCGCCGCCGCGCTCGCCGCCGCCGAATCGCGCTCCGCCGAGATGCGGCGCGAGCTCTGCGAGCTGCGGGCGCGGCGCGACTCTGCCGAGGCGGAGCGAGACGAGCTCGAGTGCGCCGTGCTGCGTGCGCGCGACATCTGCGAGGCCAAGGAGGCGGAGGCGGCGGAGGCGCGCGCGCGCGGCGAGGCGGCGGCGGCGGCGGCGGCGGTGGAGACCGAGGCGCGGCTCGGCGCCGTCCACGCGGCGCAGCTGCGAGCGGCGGCGGCCGAGGCGGCGGCCGAGGCGGAGGCGCGTGCGAGCGACGAGTACGGGAGGGCGATTGGAGAGGCGAGCCGCGAGCGCGTGGCGCTGCGTGCGCGTACGGCGGAGGCGGAGGAGCAAGCCGCGGCGGCGGAGAGGCGCGCCTCCGCGGCAGAGTGGCGACTGGAGGAGCGCATGCGCTCCGCAGAGGCGGAGGCGGCCGAAGCGGCGGCGGCGGCCGACCGAGCGGCGGCGGTGCGGCAGCGCGAGGCGGTGGTGGCGGCGCTCGAGGTTGCGAGCCGCGCGCAGCAGAGAGCGGTCGAGGCGGCCGAGTTGCGCGCCGCCGAGGAGGCGCTTGGGCTGCCCCTGTCTGGCTGCCCCTGTCTGGCTGCCCCTCGTACGGGCATTCCTCTCGGGCCGTTCCTCTCGCGGACGCCTCCTCTCTCAGGCTCTCCTGCGGCTCCTCCCTGCTCACCCGCCTCCCTTCCCCGCCCCAGGCACGGGCGGCACTCGGCACGGCCCTCGCGGCCGCCGAGGAGGCGGCTGCGCAGCGCCAGGCGGCGGCAGTGAGTGCGGCGCTCGAGGCGGCGGCGGCGCAGGCGGCGGCGGCGCAGGCACGCGCCGTCGAGGCGGCGCTTGAGGCGGCGGCAGCGGCTCGGCGGGCGGAGGGAGAGCGCGTGTCGGCGGCGGGCAGGGCGGCGGCCCAGGCGGCGGCGGAGCTGCCCGAGGAGCGGGAGGCGCTCGCCGCAGAGTTGGCTCACATGCAGATCGCGATCCGAAACGCGGTGCGGAGAGAGCCGGCTGGCGAGGGGGCAGCCCCGCCGTCCCGCGCGGCCGCCGTGCACGCCGAGGCGATCAAGTTCGCGCGTACGGGGCGGAAGAGCACCAGCGTAGGGTAGTTGTCGACCCCGACCGGACTGCCGTCGCTCGTGCGGGTTCGTCGTGTGCAGCATGCACATGCTCATGGTGTGCAGGGGTCCTCGCGACGCACAGCGGTCGTGTACTGCTATGGAAGCTATGCTGGTCGTGCGTAGATTAAGCGTCCTCTCCTGGGGGCTACGATGCGTTTGAATGTGTAATCATGTCACATGTGACGATGTGTGGCGTCTCGTAAAAAGAGCACCGGGGCCGGCGCAGCTCCTGGCGTCTGCACGGCCCTGCCGACGTCGCGCCCGTTCCTCGAGTCCTCCAACTTCTTCGAAACACTGGACCTCGACAACGATCTCTCATACTACTCCATCGGGACCACCCTATCGCGCTAAAGTGTAAAGACCTATATAAGAGGGCGGTTCAGGATGCGCACTTCACCTCTCCGCGGAGAAATGCAAATTAAATTCTTCAGTTCGTTAGTCGTTATCAAACTCTCTCCACCCCAACGCGCACGACGGGCGCGGGCGCCGGGAGCGGCAGGGGGAGCGGGGTACTAAGTGACAAGTGTGTCTGGTGGGTGTGAGCTGTGAGTGTGTGGTCTGTGGAGATGTGCTGACTGCTGTGTGCGCGTCGGCGTGGCCGTGGGCTGTGTGGCCGGCGGCTAGTCGCTCCTCGCCCCCTCTGCATCGCGGAGCAGCGCCGCGAGCCGCCGGAGCGCCTCGTCGATCTGCTCGGGCGACGCCGTCGAGTAGGCCGCTCGCACGTACGGCGACGCAGAGCCGCACGGCATGAAGGACTGCCCCGGCACCAGCAGCACCTTGGCGTCGCGCGCCTTTGCCGAGATGAGAGCGTGCGAGTCGTCGACGCCCCGCAGCCGCATCCAGCAGAACATGCCCGCCGTCGGGACGGACCAGTCTGCGAGCCCGGCCAGGTGGCGCTCCGCCGCGTCGATGAAGACGTCGCGCCGCTCCTTGTAAAAGTCGGCCACGCCGTCCATGTGCGAGGCGAAGCCGGCGGACGCGTCGCCGCCGTGCCGCTCTGCCCACACGTCGAAGAGCGCTGCGACGAGCGCCTGCGCCACGCCGCACGTGTGCAGGTTGCTCGCCTGCGTGTGCAGCTCGAGCCGCTCGATCAGCGCCGCCGGGCCTGTCGCCCAGCCAACACGGGTCAGGGTTAGGGTTAGGGTTAGGGTTAGGGTTAGGGTTAGCGCCGGGCCTGTCGCCCAGCCGAGACGGGCTGTGAATAGTATAGCTGTGAATAGGTGTAGCTGTGAATAGTATAGCCTGTCGCCCAGCCGACCCGGGCGCCCGAAGCGAGCAGCTTGGACGTCGAGTCGAAGCGCAGCACGCGCCCGTCGACGTCCATCGAGAGGAGCGACGGCGTGCGCGCGGCGCCAAACTGCAGCCTGTTCACAAGCAGACGCCGTGCACACCACCGCTGCGCCTCCAGAGCACCATCCACGCCAGAGTTGCGCGCCAGTAGTACGGGTCGTCCTCCAGAATGATCAGGCCGTACCGCCGCGCGACCGCGTACAAGTCGCGCTTCCGCTCCGCGTCGAGCGACGCCCCCGTCGGGTTGCTCCTGCGGAATTGCGCGGACGCGTGACGAACGGGCCCTGGCCGCGTGGCCCAAAAAAGAAGGGGCCGCGAGCCCGGTCGGAATCGTGTAGAGCACGCGAGGCCGGCGAGCCCCTTCGCTGGCCTCGTCCCACCCGGCCAGCACGGCCTCGAGCGCCGCCGGCTGCAGCCCGGCGCCGTCGCACGGCACGCCGACGAGCCGGCAGCCGAGCGGCTGCAGGTAGGCGAGCGAGCCCGAGTACGTGGGCGACTCGACGAGGAGCGCGTCGCCCTCGACCAGGAGGGCGTCGAACGCCTTGGAGAGCGCGTCGGCGCTCCCCGTCGTGACGCAGAGCTGTCGGTCCTCACTCGCGCGGCCGTGCTCATCGTCCTGCAGCCGCTCGAGGTGCGCCACGAGCGCGGGCAGGCCCTGCGTCGGGCTGTACTGGAGCGCCGCCTCGAGAGAGGCTCCGCTCAGCTCCACCGACGTCCCATCCGTGAGCTCGGCGGTCAGCTTTGCGAAGGGAAACGTGGACGGGTTGGGCATCCCGCCACCAAGCGAGATCATGCCGGGCATCGCCACGAGCGGCTGCAGCGCGCGAATCGCAGAAGGCCTGCGGGACCGACTGCGGCGAGTGAGGTAGGAGGCGTAGTCGATGGCACCGCCGACCTCAGCGGCCGCCGCCGTCGAGATCGCGGCCGAGCGCGGCAGCCGTGGGCGCACGGCGACGCCCAAGCGCGTGAGCATACCGTGTACTTGCTTCGGCAGAAGTGAAGAAAAACCAGCCGTGCTGGGAATAGGACCGCCGCAAGCGGCGTGGAAGGAGCGGTTGAGCACTAACTCCGAGAGTAGAGGGGGCGTTCTGCAGTTTAAGGGGAAACCCGGTACGCGGGGCTAACCCTCGGACCCGTGTTTATTTTACGGCCCTTTCTTTCCCTGCGAACGCACACCCCCCAGGGCTTGCCGCGCCATCCTCTGCATGTGCTCATCGTTCCCATCGGCCCGTCGTTGTGCGACGCGTCACGGCGCCGAGCCTGCCCTTCTCTTGCCCTCGCGCTTCTCGCCTCTCGGCGCAACGTCGCTCGCGTTGTATCCTGCGCGCTCCAGCTAGGGGAGATATCGCGGGAATTCTCTTTGCAGGTGTTCCTGTGTTAGTGCCAGTGCGCGCCAGTCCCGTGCCCAGTGTCGTGCGAGGGAGTTTTGTTGTAAAATTCTCTTGCACGGCCCGTTTCTAGGCAGATTGTGAATGAGCTTGCCTGCGGCCGAGGGCGATCGAGTGCACGGAGCTTCGCCGTCCTCGCAGGAGTCGCTTAGGCGCGGCTCCCGTGGTGTACCTGTGTTAGTGCCAGTCCAGTGCGCGGCCGGTCCCGTGCCGAGTTAGTCTGCTGCCGGGCGTTTTTGTGCCCCACAAGTAATTCTCTTTGCGTGTACCTGTGTCCAGTGCGCGCCAGTCCCGTGCCCAGTATCTGAGAGGACAGCGGTAAATTCTCTCTGCATGGCGGCTCGAAAGTAAAGGGCGCGGCCGACACAGCTCGACTTTCGCGTGCACAATGCAGGTGAGCGAGTCGGACGAGCTGAGACGCCTTCGCGCGGAGCTGGAGTCTGTGCGCGAGGAGCGCGACGCCGCGCTCGCCGCGCTCTCCGTCGCCGGATCCTCCGGCGCGTCCTCGAATCGGTCGACTTCAGGCAGGGCCTCTCTGCCCCGGCCACTCTCGAGCTCTTCCCTGACGAGCGGCGCGGGTGGGGCGAGCTATGCTGTTTCCAACGCCTCGTCCGACGGCGTGCTGTCCACGAGCAGGTGCAAGTTTGGCCTGCCCACCGGCAAGCAACTACTTGGTGGTAAGAGTATGCGGGCTGCGCCTTTGCCTGCAGCCACCTTCGAGGTCGAGCCCCACGAGCTCGTGATGCCCGGCACGCAGGCCTGCCCCCCACCCCCCCCCCACCCCCCCCCCGGCCCGGGTCAGTGGCACCCACGTGAGCCTGACGCGATCCAACTCAGCCGCAACGGTGCCTCTCTACACTCTCTTCCGCTCAGGCGCTCCTCATCGCCGGCTGGCTGCTCAAGCTCTCGTCGCGCGGCCGGTGGCAGCGGCGGTTCTTCGCGCTGGCGGGCTCGACCCTCTTCTACGCCGACTCGGAGCCGCGCCTCGCGGTCGTGCCCAAGGCTTGCGCGCAGGCGTGGCGCAGCTGCGTGCGGCAGCTCCACCCTGCAGACGCTCCGGGCGGCGCCCGCCACGCCTTTGCGCTCGCCGGGCAGGAGAAGGAGGAGCCGCTCTACCTTTCCGCCGGCTCGGAGGCGGACCGGCTCGCGTGGATGCGCGCCCTCTCCTGCAGCGCATCGGCGGCGCCGTGCGACCCCGGCCGTCTCTGCGACCTCCTCATGCTGCGGCAACGGCAGGTCGACGGTCTCGCCGCTATCTGCTTCTCGCCCGCCCTCGCCGACGACGACCGCGGCTTTGGCCACCACGCCGCCCCGCTCTACGACTTTCGGCGCAGCGCGTCCGCCAGCGGCCAGCACCCGGCGCACTCGGCTCCCGGAGACGAGGACCGCCCTCGCGACAACCCGCCGCTGGACTTCCTGTCCCGCCTCCCCGGGGGCGGCTGCCTGCTGCGGTGCGTGCACCAGTTCAACAGCCAGCTGAACAGCCTCTAAGGGGGCTAATCTGGCCACCGGCGACCAGGGAGAGAGCTTGCGAGGACCGGCTGTGTGTGTCCTAAATAGTCTTAGTTCTAATCTTTATTTTAATATGTATGTACAAAGAGAGACGATTTAGGTTTGGGGCAGAGCGAGTGGGCGAACTTTTCGGCGGTCGTGCTTTTCGGCGGTCGTGGAGGTCGTGGAGGTCGTGGAGTGGCGAGTCACGCTCGGGCGGACAGCACTGATGCCGTCGCCGGACGCGGCGGCGAGGCACACGGGCGCCGGCGTGGCGCGTCGGCAGGCCCACCACGAGCGGATGCGCGACGAGCGCGCTCGGGAAGCGGCCGCGGGCGACGCGGAGCTTCCGCCGGAGGACGACGCGGTCGAGATGGCGAGCGCCGTCCACGTGCTGGACAGCGTGGCGGAGGTGGCCCGAACTACACCCTGCTGCGCAGCAAGGAGACGAAGGCGAAGCGGCGGAAGCGACAGCGCGAGGATGCCAGGGCGGCGCTCGACGGCCACACTGTCCTGCCCACCGGATCGCGCCTCGAGATATTCTGCGACAGCGAGCGGTGGTACCCTGCGACCGTCATGGCGCGGGAGGAGGACGGGGACGGACGGATCGTGCACGAGGTCGAGTACGACGGCTACTCGGATCGGCGGTGGTGGCACATGCTGGACGACGAGCGGTGGCGCGCCGTCCCAGAGCAGGCCGGCGCGGGCGCAGGCGGCGCTGCCGGAGACGGGGATGGGGATGCGGCGATGGACCGCGCGGACGGCCAGCATGGCGCCCGTGCCGCGGGCGCCGCCGAGGCGGCCGAGGTGCGGCCGGCGCCGCCTCCTGTGCGCCGGGGTGTGCGGCGCAGCGCGCTGGCGGACGCCCTCGAGGCGGAGGATGACGAGCAGCGGGACGAGGCTGCGCGTGGCGATGAGCGGCCGATGCTAGCGCCCCACGGGCCGGCGCTGTCGGCGCACCTTCGGGTCGTGCGCCTGCGGCTGCGCGAGTTCCTGGCGACGCAGGCCGCGGCGGGGAAGAGCGTGCCGATGCAGCGGACGGCTCTCGGTCTGCACCCGACGATGCGGTGGACGATCCGCTTCGGCAAGTGGCTGGCAACGACGCGAATCACCGCGCCGCCGAGGGCGAGCCGGTGGCACGCGACCGAGCGGGGCGACGCGCGGGACGAGGAGCCGACGGTGCGCACGGGTCGCGGCGAGAACACGATCTACGTCGCGCTGCAGCACATGAAGAACCACGTGTGGCGCGAGATCTGGCCGGCGATGCCGGGCGACGCGAGGCAGTACTGGCGGCTGGTGACCAACCAGGTGATGTCGCTGTACGACGGCGGCGGCGGCGGGATGAAGGACGCGGCGGGAGCCGCCGGCCGGGCGGCGGGCCGCGAGGCGGCGCGGGAGAGCGCGTCGCACGGGCAGAGTGAGGCGGCGCAGCGGGCGGCGAGCGAGAGGGCGAGCGCGATGGCGAGCCGGCGGACGATGGCCGAGCTGCGCGAGGCGACGACGAAGCCGTGCACGAGGCAGCACCTCTTCCAGGTGGGAGAGTATCAGATGCAGGACACGCAGCTGATAGAGCCGTTCGAGGTGAACGTGGCCTTCATCATGAACGCCTACTTGTGCTTCGCGCGGCAGACCGGGTGCCGGCCGGGGATGGCAGTGAATGACGCGGCGGACGCGGCCGATTCCGACAGCCACTGGCGCGCGTCTCCCGCCGAGGGAGAGAGAGAGAGAGAGAGAGAGAGAGAGAGAGAGAGAGAGAGAGAGAGAGGCGACTAGGACGGCGGCGTTGGCGTACGATGGGGCCAGATGACACTGAGCCGTGCCGCTCGCCGGCAGGCACGAGCTGCCGCCGCTGACGATGGGCGACCTGTCCATCGCCGCGGATGAGCTGCTGCGGGGACTCGGCAGGGCGGGCGTGATGACCGAGGGCGACTTCGAGGCCCTCATCCGGATGGAGGTGACCTTCGCGCGCAAGAAGGGCGAGTACTACGCGTGCTACGAGTTCGGGACGGCGATCACGCCCGACTCGGACCAGATGCTGCGCATCGGGACGCTGGCAATGGTGCGCCTGCTGCTGCGCTGCGGAAGCTTCAGGGCGTGCTACTCGAAGCTGAGCGAAGCGAGCGCGGCGGCGCTTCGTCGCAAGGTGGCCGAGCCGAGCGGGTTCGCCGGGCTCGAGCTGGGGGACACGGGCTACGAGACGCTCCCGGCGCTAGTGGCGGCGTGCCGAGCGGATGGCTGGGTGCTCGACAAGGCGGCCCTGGACCGGCCTCTGTTCCCAGGCGTCTATGTAACTTGTACCGTATTTTTAAGGGGTGCGTCTCTCTAGAGAAGGAGTCACCTGAGGCGGACTGGCGCTCCTTGCGGTCGGCGGTGTCGTGACCGCGGGCTTTAGCCCCGGGGCCCGCGCCAGGGCAGGCCGTGACGTGCGCCGCGGGCCGGAGAGGAGAGACGAAGTCGAAGCGCGTGAAGGAGAAGTCAGACGATGTGAGAATCAAGTACAGACGACCACAAGAAAGACATAAAAAATCATGTAATTTTTTAGGTACATGTATCTATTTTCTCTCTCGTGTAACGTCGCGAGTGACCGCGCGAGACTCGGTACTGCGAGAGTCCTCGCTCTCCTGTCGTTGCGGGCCGCAGCACTTGCGCGCCCGGAGCTGCCACCCGGCTCAGCCGCGCCCGCCCTTGCCTCGGCCACCGGGGCTTCCCCGGCCGCCCTTCATGCCCTTGCCCTTGCCCTTGCCGCCTTTGCCGCCCTTCCCCTTCCCCCCGCCGCCCTTGCCCTTGCCCCCCTTGCCGCCCTTGCCCCCGCCGCCGCCCGCGCCCTTTGGCTGCGACAGGAACCGCTCTAGCGGCAGCAGCTTGAGAGGGTTGATGAAGAGCTTGTCGCCCGGCTTGAAGCTGGTCGCCGCGATGCCCGACGCAACCTTGACCGAGAAGTAGCACTCGGTGATGGTGCCAAAGATCTCGTCCACCTTGCCGACATCACTCTTGTTCTCGAGGTAGATGGGCGCGTTGAAGTACGGGATCTGTGGTGGGTAGGGATCCGAGGTGAGCGTGGGATGTGTGCGGGCTTCGCGACGGCCGTGAGGGGGCAGGGCGGCAGCTGGGCGCGCCTTCTCGTTGGTAGACTTGACAATCATGTCGCCCTCGCACGGGTGCACAAACGTCCCCATCTCGAGCACCCTCTCTGGCGGCCCCTCGTCGTATCCGCCCTTGCCGCCCTTGCCGCCCTTGCCACCCTTGCCACCCTTGGCGCCACCCTTGCCTGCGGGGAGATGGGTGCCGACGCGTGAGCGCAAGCGGCGGACACACACGCGACGGGCGAGCGTGTGCGCCTCCAAAGCCCATGGCGAAGACGCGGAGACTAGAAGAAACTCGGTGGAGCTCAAATTTTGCGTGGGCTAACCCTAGGGAGTCCACCGTGCTGCGAGCCTGTCGCTGTCCCTTGTCAGGAGCAGGAGAACTAGGAGAGCGCAACCAGTAGGAGGCCCGCGCCTGCCCCCGTGCCGCCGGGTGCAACCTGTCCTATACGAGAGAGGAATCCCTGGGACCCTGTCGTGTGGGTGAACCCTGCCCAGCCCCCCTCCGTGTCGCGATGCGCTCCCCGCTCCCGTTCCCCTGTGTCCCTGATCGTCCTTACAAGATCCTGCTCGTGCAGGTGGGGACCCTGTCCTTCTCCCACCCCTCGTTTGGCGTGCCCGTTTTATTTTTTTGGGGGGTCTGGGGACCACCCTGATCCCTGACCCTGTCGCCTGTGTCCCCCTCTGAGCTCTGTCCTTCGTCTCCAGCCCGCACCCTTCGTTTGGTCACCTCCGTTTGGCGTGTCGGTTTTATTTACTTTGGTATGTCATGCTCATGATGTCTAACACACAGACACACAGAAACAATCTAGAGCTGTCGGCTGTCGGCTGTCGCTGCCGAGGACCGCAGGCGGCAGGGGCAGGCACCCCCCAGCCTCGGCGCCTGAACACTGATGTGTAGTCTGTGCCTGCTGATGCGATATCACAATGGCATGCTCAGAATGCGGCTGCCACCTGGCGTTTGAGATGTCAATATGTGCATGCGCGTGGGGCTGAGCTGTGACTCATGCTGGCACGGGGCAGGGAGCGAGGCCGAGGGCGACAAAAGAGGGAGGGTGCGATCTGGCGCTCGTCCTGGCGCGCTTTCTGAGAGGCTGTGCGACCTCGCCGCTCTTCTCGGGCGTCCCCGACTCCCGCGGCCGCTTATTCTTCTCCGGCGATCCTGGGAGCTCGGCCGGGCGCTGCAGTTGCCTCGCAGCGCTGGCGTCGTCGAGCCTCAGCATGAGACGCTCGCACGCGTCGAGCGAGGAAGAGCAGCCCTCGGTGCGGGACGCAAGCAGCACCGCCCAGCGAAGGGCGGCACTCGCCTCCTCGGCTATATGCTCAGCGTCGATCGATAAGCGCACATCCTCCGCCCGCTGCCTTCCCGCAGCCCGACCCGCGGCGCCAGCCCAGGACGGCAGCTCCGCCTGGTGAGCGGGTCCGACCTGGATATTGCCGGGAGAGTCGAGGTCGCTCCGCACCAGCCGCCCGCTCCGCATATTCCTTCTCCCGGGATCAGACGTAACGATGGCGTGGAGTCCGGCGTGCCGGTCGGGAAGCGTGCAGCCGAAGAAGCCGCACGTGCGTTGCATGCGCATGCTGCCGGTCCGGATCAGCCGCACGGCGTGTAGCTTGCTCGTGCCGGAGAGCCGCTGTGTGCGCAGCGCCCACAAATCGCTGTGTCCGGCGAAGATGCGAGGACGCGCTGTTTCTTTTTCAGTGTATGTAGCTCTTACGAACAAACCCGTAGGTGAACTGCTGAAGGGTTTGCGATGAGGAGCGATCCGAACGTGGTTTTCCGGTATTTTTCAGTGCGAAGCTCAAAGGGTTGAGATGAGGAGCGATCCCAGTTCGGATAATTCTTTTTCGCTCGCACGGCTCTCACCTTGCGCCAGCCTGCCTCTCTCGCCTGAGGTTCCGCTCTCTCCCTGGGCCGCCGCCGAATCCCTGCGGACTGCGTTTGCTCTCTTCGGCACAGAGCTCGCCAGAGTGCGCCTGTCGTCAATCCAACCCTTGGGCCATACATCGTCAACCCTTCCTAACAACGCACACACATGCTCTGGCTCGCTCTCGCGTCCCACGCCTTCCTCTCCGCCTCGCCCTCGATTCGTGCGCGCGTTGCTCCGCCGAGCATCGCCGCGACCGCCGAGGCGGAACCGGTGCGGATGCGTGTCACCGTGCCGGCCGGCGTGGCGGCCGGCGATCCGCTGCACGTCAGCACGCCAGCCGGTGAGCTGCTGATCGTGACCGTCCCCGCCGGCCTCCAAACTGGCGATCCCTTCGATATCCTCGTGCCGGCTTTGCCGCCGCCGCCGCCGCCGCTCTCGGCGGCACAGGCGGGCGGCGGCGACTTGCCGCTCGTGCTCAGCCGGGCCGAGCTCGAGCGCTCGCAGCTGCCTGCCGACGCGCCGGAAGCAGGCCGCTTCGAGGAGCTTCCTCTCGGGCCGCAGCTCGAGCCGCGCGGCAGCATCGGGGAGCGGCTCGGGTGCGCAGAGGGAAGCAGGCCGCCTCGTCGCCGCGATTCGCCGAAGCCGTGCCTTGCTGCCTCTAGGCGTGGCGCGTGCATCCTTCGCGTGCCGGGCGTGGTTAGCTCCGATGAGGCGGCAGCGCTCCTCTCCGCCGCGCTCTCAGCGCGCAGCGCGCAGGTCGAGCGGAGAGGGAAGCCGCCCTCGCGCGGCCGCGCCCGGCTGCCCGTCTCGGAGCCGTCGCTCTTTGGACGCGCTCGCGTTGGGCGCGGCTCGCGGCGGCCCTCTGCGGCGAGCTCTCAGCAGCGGTGCCTGTTGACGACAGGCGACAGCGTCGAGACGTGCGAGGAGGTGCTGCTGCGCGTGCTCGACTTGTGCGACGAGGCGATGCCCTCGCTGCACGAGACGCTCTTCGCGCCGAGGGAAGGGTGGCAGGAGAGGCAGCCGCGGAACGCGCAGGGCTCTCAGCCAGAGGTGCCTCCTCCACCCGACCTAAACTCGAACCAAGGACTCAACTCGAACCCCAACCCCATACCCAACCCAGGTGCCTCCTCCACCCGACCTAAACTCGAACCAAGGACTCAACTCGAGCCCCAACGCCATACCCAACCCAGGTGCCTCCTCCACCCGACCTGGCCGAGCGCTGCCCGAGCTTGCGAGACCTCTACATGGCCGCCGAGCTGGAGTGGTCCGAGGGCGAGCCGGCTATCAACGTCTACACCTCCGACGGCTACTTTGGGGCTCACAAGGACCACTTGGCCCTCACCGTGCTCATCCCACTCACCGCACCGTCGACCGACTTCGAAGGCGGGGGCACCGGCTTCTGGGCGGGAAACAGCGCCGTCGGAGAGGACCCACGAGGGTCTGAAACTGCGGCACACGCACACCGCCGCACCCGACGCCACTCCCGAGCCGTCGAGGCTGCAAGCGTAGGCCTCCGGACCTCGTCCTCGCCCCTGCTGCCGGCCGCCACGCGCCCACTCCTGCCGACGGCGCGGCTGGGGCGCCACTTCAGCTGCGTGCCACTGCACGTAGGCACGGCGCTGCTCTTCGGCGGAGACGTGACGCACGCGGGGCTGCCGGTCGCAGGCGGGCTGCGCTCCGTCTTCGTCGCTTCTTTTTCGACGCGCACCCCCGCCTCGCCGCCGGATCGTGTCCACGGGCTGCAGATGGCGCCGTCAGTCAGCCCACAGTTTGGCGGTGGGTGAACAAAACTGTGCAGCGAAGAGCAGGCTACGGCTCTAGGTAATTAAGGTAAGGTAAGGGCATGGGTAAGCGGGGTGGGCGAAGTGCGCCGACTTTCGACTTCGACTTCGTTTGGTTTTTTGTGTGGGGGTCGTTCGTCACAGGTCACACAGCGAGAGAGCGAGATACTGAACACACCGGCGTCCACCGCCGACACACGTACCTTTCACACAGAACGCTCGCTCTCTCACGTCTCAGACGCCCTCTCGGTCGGCTCGACGCGACACGCGAGCCGACCGGAAGGCCGTCTCCGCACAGTCACAGACAGAGAGAGCACGGGTCGTCTACCAATCGCGTGTGTACAGTGTACTCCGTCGAGTCTCGAGGTGCGATCGCTCGGCTGTGACGCTCGCGCGGTGCGCCGTGACACGAGCTCGGACAGCTACTCGACCTTCGCCGGCCGAGCAGGCCGGCCTGGCAGGAGGAAGTTTGTGTTGGCCACATAGTGGCGGTAGGCTGGGTCGGAGCCCCACTTCTTCTCGCCGGCGCGGTCCACCATTGGCGCACCGGATACCTGCAGCACGCACGAGTGTGTGCGCAAGGCTGAGTGCGCGGGGCTGCGGAAGAGGGACGCTTCGGGAGGGCTCCGCGACCCGCAGCAGCAGGAAGGCGGTGAAGAGCGGCGAGCCCCAGGCGCCGAGGAGCTGCGCGTCGCCGGTGCTGAGGAAGGCGGACGTGGCCGCCAGCGCTTGCGCGGTCCACATCCCAATCTCGCCGCAGTAGTTTGGGTGGCGGCTGAGCGCCCAGACGCCGGTCGTGATGAAGCGCTCCTTGTTGGCGGGGTCTGAGCGAAAGGTGAACTTTTGGTTGTCGGCGGCCGCCTCGAGGAGGAAGCACGCGAGCCAGAGAGCGAGGGCGACGGCGTCGAGCGGGCCAGCCGGTGCCGCGTCGTCGCGCGTGTTGAGCAGCAGGACGGGGAGCTGGATGAGGCTCACCCAGCAGGCCTGGATCGTCCACGCGCCGAGGAAGGTCAGCCAGCACGGCTTGAAGGCGTCGAAGCGGCCGTCCTTGCCGTCGCGGGAGATGCGGAGAAAGAGAAAGGTGCCGAGCCGCACCATCCAGACGAGGCTGAAGAGCGCGCTCAGCAGCTGCCGCGGGCTGCGCTGGCGGGCCGGCGAGCAGAGGGCGTACGCGACGACGGCAAAGTGCGTGGCGCTGCCGCTCAGGTCGTAGAACTTTTCCGACCGGAAAGGAAGGCCGTGGACGAGAAAGACTGCGAGCTGCACCGAGAATGCGAGCAGCGTGTGGTGCGAGAGGCCGAGAGAGCGGCCGACGCCGACGAGGATCGCGCCGCCGAGAGAGTTGGAGATTGCGCCGCGCAGGTAGAGGCGCCACAGCGGCGGCGACATGCCTCCGGCAGAAATCGCGGACCCAGCAGCCACCCGGCCACAGCGGCGGGGGAGAGACAGACCGGGGACTAGGATTTCTTTTTAATCGGGGTTTGGTACGCATTGCTATCACTCGAAAGCAGGCGCGCAGAGGTCGTGCCTGCGTGCCATTGGCTCACCGCATACGCGTTTGTTTTGTGAGCAAGCCAGTTCTGTCAGGAGACGGAACACGGAGGAGCTGTATAGGTCACTAGAGACCCACACCATCGCTACATCACCACAGCCACCAAGTCGGATACAAGTCGATGACAATGTGCGCGGCAGGAGAAACCAAACATGAGACGGTTACACAAGGACGGTCAGGCTACGGTCAGGAAGTAGGTTTGAGCTCTCTCTCCAACACTCCCCCATTGTCTCCGCAGTCTTCATGAATGAGGATGCGGCAGACAACAACAGCAGAGTGTGAATGTGTCTGAGCGTAGGTATGCCGGTTACCCGCCGGCGTCTCGCGGGGCTGGCTAAGCGTCCAACCTTGCGTCTTCGCGAAGGATGGTCTTGCTTGTTGGCAAGACTTGCGCGCTAAGATGACCCAGTGAAGGGGTCAAAGCGCGGCGAGTGGGCGGAGAGAGAGAAAGGGGAGATAATGAACAGGAGCTCGGTCATGGCGCGCCGCGAGCTGCAATCCGGGCTGAGCGTCGCGGGGCGGCGGCTTGAGCGGGCGCGGCGGGAGCGGCGGGCGCGGGAGCGGCAGCGGGGGCGCCCCGTTGCTGCGCGGCGATTGGGCCGTTGGGAGGCCTCGCCGCGTTGACGTTGATGAGCGCATCAGGAACGTGAGGACGATCTTCAATGCCCCGAACGTTGATGTTGCGCTACGGGCCGCCGACGTCGGAGATGGCAGGCTCAGTCTCAGACGTCCAGACGGCAGAGACGCTCGTAGAGGCGCATTGGACTTCTTGCCAGAGGCGTTGGACAGCGGGACGGGCTAGCGCGAGGAGGCGAGACGAGGAAGAGACAGCAATGAGGTAGAGTGGCATTGCCACGTCGAACAGATGCCCAACTCCCCCACGACGTGGTAATCGCCACGCAAGGCAGAGAGGGCGTGTCGATCGTCGCGTGTTCATCGCGTACAGCTCCGGTCGTGTCGAGCGGCGACGTCGGAGTAGCGGCGGCGAAAGGCAGGGTCCACATTCAGTGCGAGGTCCTTGCGGTAACTGCCGTTGCAGCAGCCCGAGAGCTGGTAGCGGAGGCAGCAGCTGCGATGGTGGTCCGTAGGCGAGGAGAACGGACCGGTAAGGAGAAGAAAGAGGAGATACTCGCGTCCACCCAGCCGCAGTGCTGGCGGAGACGCGCTCTGTCGCAGAAGATCCGCAAGCACCCAAGTTGATGTTGCGATTGTACTCATTCTGCTTAGCCTCCGAGCCAAGCAGTTGGCGGCCGCTGTGCCACCGTGCGCCGAGCCTCTGTGCCCAGCCAATCACCACGGCTCGCGCAGGTGCCCATGGTGCCAGCCAACGTATCGAGCGTAAGCCGGAAATGCTGTGCGGCAACACATCTCGCTTGTGTGCCGCACCAGCTCTCATGTCGGCCTCAGTGCCGCACTGCTCACTCCGTGCACTCACCGGTCGGTACCATGTCAGGAGACGGAACACGGAGGAGCTGTATAGGTCACTAGAGACCCACACCATCGCTACATCACCACAGCCACCAAGTCGGATACAAGTCGATGACAAGTAAGTGCGCGGCAGGAGAGAAAGCGGACATCCAAAAACACGACGCACTCTCTCACATGAGAAACCAAACATGAGACGGTCACACAAGGACGGTCAGGCTACGGTCAGGAAGTAGGTTTGAGTTCACACTCTCCAACAAGAAGTGTAGGTTGTGTTTTTTGGGAGCAAGCCAGTTCGCGGTTGTGGTGGCGCCGGCGAGCCAGAAAGCGAGGGCGACGGCGTCGAGCGGGCCAATGGAGCGGCGCTCCAATCCAAACCTCGACCTGCAGTACCTGCCGATCCTGGACGGCCGACTCGCGGAGCCTGCGCCGAGGCTCATCTTCCTGGTCGCTCTCAACGCGTTTGGCTTCTCGTACTGCCTGGTCGTCTCCACGCTTGGCATCGTTGTGCTCCCGTCGGAGGCCGAGCTCCTATTCCCGCGCGATGACGCCATTATGCTCGGCGTGATGCTCGCCGCCACCGGCGCCACGCAGCTGATCGCGCCGCTAGTCGGCTACCTCTCCGACCGCTCGACGTGGCGCTTCGGCCGGCGGAGGGGCCTCATGCTGGCGGGCGCGGCGCTGGCGTGCAGCGGCTTTGGGGCCATGTGGCTCTGCCGGCAGCAGCGGCTTGGAGCGGCGTACGTCTGCGCTCTGACGGCCGCGGTCTCGGGCGTCAACGTCATCTACTCGTGCTACACCGCGCTGCTGCCCGACTTTATCCCGCCGGCGCACATGGGCTTGGCGTCGGGCGTGATGGCTGCGATGTCGATGCTCGGATCGTTCGGCGGCTTCTGGCTCTTTGGCTTCCGGCTGCAGGTCTCGCACGCCTACGGCCTCTACGCCGCAGTCACCGCCGCAGCCGTGGGCGTGACCTGCGTTGCGGCGCCCGAGGCGCCTCTCCTCTCGGTGCCGCCGCCCTGCCGTCTAGCGCTGCCCTAGACGCAGCCAACTAGCCCTGCGCTGCTGCCGGCGCGGCGCCGAGCGCCTGACGCCGCTCGCGGACCCGCGCAGGCGGCGCCGGTGCGCTGCCGCGAGATGCTCTCCTCGTGCTCGATCGACGTCGGCGGCTCGCCCGACTTCTTTTGGGTCTTTGTGACGCGAACCTTCTACTACATGGGCATCTCCATCCAGGAGAGAGAGAGCCGAGCTCCGTGCAGCAGCACACCGCCGCCCGATGCCCTCTCCTCCTCCGCACGGCGGCCCCCTCCACACACCTCTGCTCCTCCGCAGAGCCTCTCCCCGCCCTCCGCCCGCAGGCCTTCTCACTCTTCATGCTCCGCCACTACCCCAAACCCTAACCCTAACCCTACCCTCACCCTCACCCTAACCCTTACCCTAACCCTTACCCGCAGGCCTTCTCACTCTTCATGCTCCGCGACGTCCAGCGCGTCGCAGACCCAAAGTTCTACACCTCTCTGCTGGCGATGGTCGGCCAGCTGTCGGCCGCCGCAGTCGCCCTCCCCGCCGGCCGCCTCTCCGACCAGCTCGGCCGCAAGCCGCTCGTGTACGCCTCCTGCGCGCTGATGGGCGCCGTCTACGTCGGCTTCACGCTGCAGCCGCCGGTCGAGGCGCGAGGCTAGGGCTAGGGCTAGGGGCAGGGGGAGGGGCAGGGGGAGGGGCAGGGGGAGGGCTAGCAGCGGCTTCACGCTGCAGCCGCCCGCCTCTCTCCGCTGCGTGTGCCACGCCGTCACGGGCGGAGGTCTCCTGGGAGATATGGGGAGATGCGGGGAGATACGACGTGTGCCACGCCCTCACGGGCCGAGGCCCCTCTCGCCCCAGGTGCTCCTCGTGCTCGGAGTCGCCTACGGCTGCGGCAACGGCACGAGGAGGGGCGCGCGCCGCCGCCCCGCCCCTCTCTGCAGCCGAGCCCGCCGCCTCCTCGCACACAGGCGTGTTCCTGTCCGTCGACTATGCGCTCGCGTGCGACGTGCGGCCCTTCCCTCTCCGCCCCAGCTGCCGCCCGCCCACCCCGAGGGCCCTTCGCCTCCGCGGCGTGAGAAGAACCCGGCACAAGAGGTCCCGGCTCGAACCCGCCGCAGGTGCTTCCTTCCTCGGAGAGCTCCGCCCAGTCGCTCGGCGTCTGGGGCGTCTCGGCGAGATGGAGCCGAGATGTCGAGATGTGGCCGAGATGTGGCCGAGATGCGTGGACGGCCTCCCCGATCGGAAGAGCTCTGCGCTCGCCTCCCTCCCCTCCCCTCCCCTCCCCTTTTCTTCGCAAGGCCTTCCTCGGCTCGGCGCCTAACCGACCCTAACCCCGACCCCGACCCTAACCCCAACCCCGACCCCAACCCCGACCCTAGCCCCGACCCCCCTAGGCCTTCCTCGGCTCGACGCTCGGCCCTCTCGCCGCGGGGCCGCTCCTCACCTACTTCGGGCGGACGGCCACGGCGGACCGCTTCTCGCCCCGCGGGCACGCGCCACCCCCACCCCCTCTCCCCTCTCCCTCTCCCCTCTGCAGAGTAGCCCGGCGCTCACCGCGCGCGGGCGCGGCGCTGCACAGGTACGTCGTCGTGATGCTCTCCGGCGCAGTGTACGTCGCATTCGCCGCGCTGCTGCTGAGAAATGTGCGCGAAAAGTCGCGGAGGAGAGGCGACGCGGCGAGCGGGCTGCTGCGGAGCTCCGACTCTTCGCCCTCCTCTCCAGAGGAGGGAGGGGAGTGAGAGATTGCGCACGCGCACGCGGCCCGACGGAGGTTCGACGTGGGCTGAGGCGAGTCGCGAGGAGTGACTCGCCACCGGCACAGCACTAGTCGCTTTCGGCCCGCCCCCCGTCGTCGTGCTGCAGGTCTCTCGACGCCTCAGGCTCTTGTGTTTGGGGTCTTATACCCCGATTGTCCCTTGAGATACATTGATCATTGTGCGGTTCTATTCTTTCTTAAGCCTTTCTCGACGTAAGTTTTGTGAATCGGCACAATCGGACGAACCAGGATCTCGCCCGGCGCCCCGGCGGCGGCCCCGCCGGCGCCGGCCGAGCACGCGCCCCGGTGTCGCGGTCTCTACTTGGAGCACGAAAGGGGGGGAGGAAACCCAAGGCGCACTTGGAGCACTTGGAGTGCAGTCAGTAACCGCCCATTGCGCCCATCCAGGGCCGGCGAGGCACGCTGCGCGTTTTCTTTGTGCCTCGCGCCGATCGTTAGCGCGGCTCTCTCGGCCGTGACGAGTATGGCGCTGGCGCTCGCGACACTCGCTCTCGGCGCCGGCCGCAGCCTCTCCGTCGTGTCGTGGAACATCCTCGCACCGACCTTCGCGCCGCCGAGCCGCTACCCTTGGGTGGCGCCCGCCACGCTCGCCTGGCCGAAGCGCGAGGCCGCGATCGTCGCCACGCTCGGGAGGCTCGATGCCGATGTCGTGTGCCTGCAGGAGGTCGAGGTGGCGCTGTGGGACGGCCTCCTGCGTCGATTCACCAGCCTGGGGTACAGCGGCGTACTGCAGGAGACGCAGCGGCAGCACCCGATTGCCAACGCCGTCCTCTTTCGGCGGGCGGCACTGCGGTGTACGCAGACCGAGTCGCGCTCGCGCGCGCTGATCGCCGTCCTCGAGTCGCTCGACGCGGCCGACTCTGCGGCGCCGCTGCACGTCGCCTCGGTCCACCTCGAGGCGGGGGCGGAGAAGGCGTCGCAACGCTTCTTCCAGCTGCGCTCGCTGCTGCGTCGGCTGACTCTGCTGCAGCAGCGCGACGAGAAGGCGCACGCGACGCGCCGCGCTCCTCCACCGCCAGCCCTCCGACTCGCCACCCTCCCCCGCTCGGCAGGAGCGGAGCGGACCACCGGCGGTGCTGATCGCCGGCGACTTCAACTTTGATCGCCGGTCGGCGCTGCACCAGCTGCTCTGCACAGGCGCGCTCTTCTCGGACTTCGCCTCTCCTCCCGCCCTCGCTGCCCGCCTCTCCTCCCGCCCCCTCCCCGCCAACCCGCCCCCTCCCGGCGCCGCAGGAAGCCTGCCTCCGCACGAGCGAGGCGAGCCGCAAGCCCCTACCCAGCCCCTACCCGGCACCTCCCCCGCACCTCCCCGACACCAGCTCCACCACCCCGCCCTCGCTGCGGTGCGTCCGAGCTCGACCCGCCGCCATCGCGCGAGAGCAGGCTCCTCCGCCTGCGGCGAGATGACCCGAGATCACCCGAGATTAGGCTCCTCAGCCTACGGCGAGTCTGTGCCGCTGGTGCGCTCCTGCCCCTCCTGCCCTCCCCTCATCTCTCTCCCTCTTCCTCTCCCTCTCCCTCTCCCTCTCCCCCCTCCCTCCCCGTCTCCCTCCCCGCCCCTAGCCCGGCTCTGGCCAGCCCTCCGCCTCGCCCCTCCGCCTCGCCCCTCCGCCTCGCCCCTCCGCCTCACCCCTCCGCCTCACCCCTCCGCCTCGCCCCTCCGCCTCGCCCCTCCGCCTCGCCCCTCCGCCTCACCCCTCCCCCTCGCCCCCAAAGGTGCGCGCCGGCTCGGCCCCGTACCAGAGCCCGCTCCTCCCTCTCCGCGACGCCTACCGAGACGGGTCCCCTCCCTGGGGGCCACAGCTGCGCGCGAGGTGCGCAGCGGCGGGTCGCTCTCCGCCCTCCTCGGCACCCCTTCGGCACCCCTTCGGCACCCCGCTCCCCGCCCTCTTGCCCTCAACACCCTCCCTCCCTCCCTCCCTCCCTCCGGCCGCAGCTTTCGCAACGGGCGCGTGCTCGACTTCGTCTGGCACTCGGCGGCGCTGCACTGCCTCCGCCCGATGCCCGTCTGCGCCGAGGCGGGCTCGCCGCAGCCCAAGGCGATGCCGTCCGAGACGCACCCGTCCGACCACCTGCCCGTCGGAGCGTGGCCCGCCACGGCAGCCGCGGGCTTGCCGAGACGGGACGGCCTCACGCGCCGCCGGATGGGCGAGTAGGCGCACTGTTCTCCTGGCCGGGCGCGCCGGGCTGCCGAGCAGAGGCGGACCGCTCCGCCGTCGGCCGCGCGAGGCGCGAGGCGCGGGGAGGGAGGGGAGCGGAGCCGCCGCCGCCAATAGGCGCCCAGCTGGCAGCAGCTCTACGTCGAGAACGTGATCCAGTCGCGGCCAGCCTCGCGGCCAGCTTCGCGGGCGTCGCCCGGCCGACGGTGCGCATGTGGAGGGAGGGAGGGAGGGAGGAGGGGGCGAGGCTGCCTGCAGGGGTGGGGCCGGCCGGCGTGGAGAGCTGCGCCTCACGTGCCCGCTGCTCGCCCGCAGGTGAGGGTGGCTGGCGGCGGTCGCGCGCCCTCTGGGCGCTCCCTCCCGCAGGGTCGGGTGTGCAGCGCTGCGCTCCGTGTGCAGTGCGGGGCAGGGCGTGCTGCGAGGCCTACTCCCTTGCAGGGGTGGGTCGGAGAGAGAGGGGAGAGGCATACGGTGTGGCATCTTGCTGTGTGTGCATGGTCGGTGGATGTGGGGACGCGCCGCGGTTTTGTGGCGGAGTGTGTCTCAACGCCGGCGTGCCGCCAAGTGCTCCTACAAGTGCGAGCGGGCCGAGCGCACCGCGCCCTGGCGGGCATATTTGCTTACTCGTCCCATCGGCCTGCTGGCGTGCTCCCGTCGCAACTTCCTGCCTGCGCTGTCCGAGGACAGAGCCTCTGTGTGAGCTCTGTGTAACACACTACACAGGGGTACGGCACAGAGCCTTTTCCCCCTCTGATACGTGATAGCTGATACTGTGTACGTATCGTGGAAAAGCGTCTCTTCATATGACAAACGAGAGGGCCAAAAGGGGCGCGGAAGCGAGAGGCCGATGAGCGATCTGTGTGTGCGGGCACGGCGCCGCGGGGGTGCGGGTCTCCCACCGGCGGGAACTGGGTTGGGATGGCGATGCCCCGCGAGCGGGGCGTTAAAACGTCTCTCCCCCTCTGGTGTCATCTCATCGGGCAACGCGCCAACGCGCAACGGGCAGTCGCTCTTAGAGGCACACAGAGGCGGGGGAAAGGGGCCCCTCACGAACAACGTGCGGCGCTCATAGGTGCCGCTCTCGTGCTCTCTCCACTCCCTCTGCCACGTGCAGAGAGCAGCGCCAGAGGCAAACGACATTTCCAGCAGTTGGTAAAGAAAGAAAGAAAGAAAGAGACAACCCAAGGGAGGGATAATAAATAAATAAATACAACGCACACGCCAAACGAGGGGTGGGAGAAGGACAGGGTCCCCACCTGCACAAGCAGGATCTTGTAGGACGATCAGGGACACAGGGGAACGGGAGCGGGGAGCGCATCGCGACGGTGCATGGTGGGGCAAAACGATTTCTTTTCCGCCCGCGTGCCTGTAGCCGCAGAGAGCCTCAGAGAGCGCGCTGCCCTCGTCTCCTCGCCGCCGCCAGCCACAGCCGAGCGGCATGGAGTCCGGCGCAGTCACCGTCAGGACAAAGAAGTTCGTCACCAACCGGCTGCTGCAGCGGAAGCAATTTGTGTGCGAGGTGATCCACCCCGGCCTCGCCGGCGTGTCAAAGAACGACCTGAAGGAGAAGCTCGCGAAGATGTACAAGGTTCGCCGCACACCGCCGGCAGCCTGCGCGGAGGGCGGCCGGTTGCCGTCGCTGGTCCGTCGGCGCTCACTGCGCCAGGCTGCACGGCGCCGCCGGCGCTTTGCCAAAGCGCTTTGGTCCCTGCGCCTCTGCGCCTGCGCCGCCTGGCTGCGGGATGGCCTCCCCCCCCCCAGTGCGCGCGAGGATCCTCGCGCTCGAGACCGCTGTGGCCGACGGCGCTCCCCGCCGCCGCCGCGCGCGCAGGTCGCCGACCCCTCGTGCGTGCTGCTCTATGGCTTCAAGGTTGCCTTTGGTGGCGGCCGCTCGTCTGGCTTTGGCCTCATCTATGACAGCCTCACGGCCGCCAAGAAGTACTCGCCCAAGTACCTCCTGACGCGGGTGAGCCGCGCCGCCGCGCTCGCTCCCGCGTCGCGGGCACCAGTGTGGCTCACGCGCCGCCCGCCGCCCGCCGCAGTTTGGCATGGGCAAGGCCAAGGCGACGGCCCGCAAGCAGCGGAAGGAGCGCAAGAATCGCATGAAGAAGGTGCGCGCGCGCCACATCCTCGTTAGCACCGCGAATAGACGCGCCGCGCCCGGCTCCCTCACCCCCCGCCGCCGCTTCCTCCGCCGCCGCTGCCGCCTCGGCGCTCCGCCGCCGCGACCGTCGCAGCGCCGCCTACCACCAAACCTGCCGCCACCTCCGCCGCCCGCCATTTCCGCCCGCCTCGTGCGGTTCCGCCGCCGCCGCCGCCGCCGCCAACCCCCCCTGCCCCCCCCCCGCCCTTCCCTTCCCCATCTCAGGTTCGGGGTATCAAGAAGTCCAAGGGCTCCTAGAGGAGGACTCGGCCCGGCCGCCCCGCCCCCTCGCTGCGCCCGTGTATCCGTCCCCCGCTCCCCGCTCGCAGAGGGTCGCGCGGTTTGTCGTGTGTCTCGGGAGCTATCCAAATTTACGTACCATTGCAAGGTACGCACACAAAGGGAGAAGCGAGTGCTCCGCACGTGTAGCGCGCGGCGGATTCTTCCTTTTTCGAATGCGCGACGCCCCCGCCACCACTCCTCGCGCGTCGACGTCGCAGCGTCTTCGCACGCCCGGCAGCAACCCATTCCTCGCGTTCTGCGAGGCCAACGTCTCGCGGCTGCAGCGCCGCTGGCGCGACCGACGGCAGTGCAGCGCCGGCCACGGCCACGCCCCCACCGCGACGGCGCCAGCGGCCGCGGCCGCCTCAAAATTTCCGCCGCCGCCGCCCTCGTCGCCGCCGCCCTCGCCCCTGCAGGAACGCAGCCTGGCGCTCGAAAACGCCATGGCCTCTGGCCGCATATCGCTCGGAGGCGGCCGCCGCCGCAGCTCCGTCGCAGGCCGGCCAAAGAAGCCGCCGCCGCCGCTGCCCGCACCGCCATCGTGCCCGGCCAAGCCGCTTCTCGAGGCAGCTCCGCCGCCACCCGAGGAGCCGCCGCCGCCACCCGAGCCGCCGCCGCCAGAGGAGGAACCGCCGCTGCCAGAGGAGCCGCCGCTGCCCGAGGGGCCGCCGCCGCCCGAGGGGCCGCCGCCGCCGATGGAGCCGCGCCTCCTGGCAGAGGCCGAGCAGCTCCTCTTCTCTCCACCGTGCTCGCCGCCATTCTCGCCCGCCGTGACGGCACCGCCGCCGTCCTCGCCGGCCTGGCGCTGGCTGGGGTGGCTGCAGTCTCCCTTCACCTCCTCGGCGGGCGAGCAAGGCGGCTCCTGGAGCTACAGCTGCAACGTGGTGGGACACGGAGTCGCGTGTGAGCAAGCACGGGGCAGGTAGCGGGTGCGTGGTGGATGGTGGGCCACGGCGGCGGCACATGGGGGTGACAGCGAGAGACACACAGCACGCACTCCACACAGTCACACAGGGCGGACACTGATCAGTGCCGTGCCATCCTAGCGCCGTGTCCCGTGTGCCCCGTGAGGCTGGGAGATAGGCTGAGAGGGCGACAGCGCGTGAGAGCTCGACCTCGAGAGCGTTTCCGTTTGTCCGGTTTGAGAGGACAGCGTTCCTGACAGGTGACAGCGACAGCCGACAGGTGTGAGGTGACGAGGGAGTGTCGTCAGTGTCGTGTCTGTCGAGACTCGAGTGTGGAGTGAGGTGTGAGCGGAGAGCCGCCGCGCGCGCCCGCGGGCTGTGTGAGCCCGGAGGCACTGGTGAATCGCCTTTCCTAAGCTCGCACAGACATTCTAGCTATCGCGTATCGCGTAATGGGACCACAAAACCAGCAGGGCGCACACGACGCGCCCGGAAGGCGTCTCGCAAAACATGCCTTTCCCTCGCCGTCCACCGTCCGTGCACATATCCACGGGCCCCGTACAGCAGGGCACGCTGGCTCAGCAGGCAGCGCAGGATAGCAGCGCGGCGGGGCGGGCGGCACAGCGGTGGTGGCGGCACAGCGGCGGCGGCGACGCGTCGGGGGCCTCGTTTAGCGGTACAGTCCGTTGTTGATGTTGTCGATGATGTACTCGGGCTTGGGCTCGAGGAAGATGAAGCGGGTCTCGTACTTCTTCACCGCCGCCGACTCGGCCGCGGTGAACTTGCACTTGGAGTACATCTCGCCCGCATTCTTGTACGGCGCGTTGGAGACCAGTTTTCCAGCCGCGTTGGGGTACATACCCGGCAGCTTGATGTAGACGCGGATGTTGGCGTTGTTCACGTCGATCGTGGACGAGCCACCAAGGAAGCCAACGCCGGCGTAGTCAACCTCAGCGTTCGCGGCAGCAGCCGACAGCAGCGCGGCGGAGCCAAGCACCTTGCTGAAGATCTCGCGGCGCGCGATGGGCTCCGACATCCTGGGCGGGGCGGCAGGGGCGCCTTAGGCTGCTGCCGGCACGGAGGGCCCCCTTCCTGTCTCCATCTGCGCGGTTTGCGGCGCAGAGGGGTGCGCAGGGGCCGGAACGCACGTCGGCGCAGCAGCACGGGTCAGCGGCGCGGGGCGCAGCGCGGTCGGCGCGAGCGCCTACAGGCAGCGGCGACGGCCGCGTTAGGCGCGCCGGCCCGGCTCACCGCCGCGCGCTCCGCTCTCACCAGCGTTGTGGTCAGGAATGAAAGCGACATTTCACTGCGAGATAGCTGCCAGATGTTTTTCTTTTACAATGACCTCAAAATCAATTTCATTACTTCCTCTCTCTTCCACTCCTTCCTCTCCAACACCAAAACACACACACACACACACACACACACACACACACACACACACACACACACACACACACACACACACACGATATGAGTTCTGGTTTTTCGAGGTGTGAACGATCTCCCGGAGGGGTCATTCCGCCGGAATGACCCTTCATTCATTAACTAATTGGATTCCGAATGGGTCGAACGGGCGGGAGTACTAAGACAGCAGCATGTTCTGGGTGGGAGGAACCCTTAGGGGAGGATTCGTTCTGGTTTCTGGTTTCTGCGATATCGAGTGCGATGGAGCGCCCCTCGTTGCTTTCACCTCTCAACGGCGACGAGAAGCGGCTCACCACGGTGCCTCAGCGCACAGTGTCGCTCCTCTGTGAGACTGACGCAAAACAGGCCAGCGTTCAGTTGCTCAAGCGCCAGGCACTCGGTGTTTGGCACGCCGACGCCCTGTCCGACGTTGAGAATGCCATTGGCGACCTGCACTTCTGGCCAACGACCTGGTCGAAGGACCCTCGCAGCCGTGACTACGACATGCAGCGCCTCGGACGGTCCAAGCGGCTCGACAATCGCGAGCGCTTCGAACTCTTCCGATTTGTGGTTGGCAACGGCGCATCACCCGCTCTGGCCGTCGAACTCCTTGCCGCGTCGGAAAGCCTGCCAGACACGTTCGCCATTACCCAAATGGAAAACCTCGTGAAGAAGGCTGCCGAAGGCAGCTTCTCGAAGTATAAGGCATACATCATGGCGGACCGCAAGTGGGCCCCGGTCTTTTGCGTGCCAGAGCAGAAGCCTCTGCCTCTTGGAGAGTACTGCCCATACGAAGACGCTCGCAAGGTGCTTGCACGGCAGAAGAAGCGCCAATAGGCCGGCTTGCTGGTGTCCGATGGAGGCCGCCATCGCTTAGAGTCGCATGTGGAGCGCCACCGCCACCGTGGGCGATGATCGCTGCCGCCAGCCCGCAGTGCATTTTCCGTTCCTAAATGCATCGTAGTCATCTCCGCCGAGGGCGGCGTCCCATGTCGTCGTCCATGTCACTGCCACGCTACCTCGCATTCAGTGCCGTGCCGTGAGCGCGGCCTGTGCTACGTGTGTGAGCGTGCCCACGGTGTGAGTGGCGGCCTGCTGTTGCGCGCACTCTTGTGTCGTGTGTGTGTGTACAGAGACCACGCGCCAAGCCAGCGCACATGCTAAGCGCACTGTGTTGTCTGTTTATGAGCTCTCTAGAGCATGGTCGTTCCTAAAGGCGCAGCTAGGCGCAGCCGACACATGGGATGGACATGGCAAGCACATGGCATGAACATAGGGCAGGCACGATTCGCGCATCTCGACACACGACTGCACACAGGCGACACTACGTCGCGCAAGGGTGCAGCGGCTATGGTCACGCACATCGCGCCCGATCCCTCCTCCTAACGCGACGCCAACTAAGGCATCAGTGCATGCATCGCTCTCCCTGTCCGCGCGGGTGCGCCGGTCGGGCGCTGGTGGGGCGCCGTCCTACGACCGGCGAGCCCCGGCAGAGGGGTGGAGCTCTCTACTGAGCCGCCTTCCCCGACGGCGGCGGACCGGCCCGGGCGCCACGGCGCCGCAGGGGACCGGCCCGGGCGCCACGGCGCCGCAGAGGCGGCAGCGGGGACGGCGTCAAAGATGGCGTGCCTCAGGGGCCGCCAGTCGCGGCGTGCGTCTTGCTCGAATTGGCCCCGCCGAGGTGCCCGGCGACAGCCTCGTCATGCGCGAGAAGGTCGGGTCCGCCTGAACTCCCCCGCGACAAAGGTCGTGTCCGTGCGCGCGGCCCGCGGCAACGTACACAGAAGCGCGATCCAGGGACGGGCATGCCAGAACAGCCCAAAGTCGCCTTTCCGTGCTTGCCCATCGACAACGCGCGCGTTCCGGTTGGAACAGCACTTGCGCCGATATTTATGGTGTCCATCGATGATGTAGCAGTCGCACGTACTGCTGCCAGGCACCGGCTTGAGGCAGCGCGACGCGTGCTCTCCCGCCCAAAATGCGGTGAAGCGGGACAGCAGGCACTCGGGCTTGAGGCGGCCACTCGCATCTCGACCTTGGCACTGCTCGAGCAAAGTCGCATCGAGCTGCTCGTCGGATGTGAAGCCCAGCGGCTCGAATGGTAGCGGCTCCCCCGCCCGCGACGCATTCTCGTCGCGCCAGCGCAGGAGCGACCACGCTAACCAGGTGTGCCCGAGGCGTCGCCGCATCGTATGGGCGAGATCCTTTGACTCGCCGCACCGCATTGCCCACTCGTGACAGAAGGTCTCGAAGCCGGTGTGAGAATGCACCATCTGTGCCGACAACCTGTCGAGCAGCGAATTCTCGAGCTCTGGGAAAGCTGGATCCAGCGGCGTGAGGATGCAGTCGCCCCTGGGTAGGGCACCTGCTTGCCAGCTGGGATGCGCGTGCCGCCCTCAGCGTACGACATGCTGTACCACGCGGAGCACCGAGGGCAGGAGAGGCCATTGAGCTCGCCCTTCAGTCGCCCGTGCTCCGCATAGACCGTTGGAGATGAGCATTTGTCAGCCCGCTTGACCACCAGGGGTACCGCCTCCCCAGCGAGGCCACACGCCACGCAGTGCTCCACGTCCGGCACGAGCCGAACGGTCTTGCGGCTCGGGTCGTCGCGAAGCTGGGAGGCAAGCCCCGATCGACAATGGGCAGCTTGCTTAGCAGATACCGCACCGCAGGAGCGGAGAGGCCTGCCGGCATCTCCCCAGCAATACGCTCAGCGCGTAAGGGCGTCCCAGGTGGGTAGAGGTTGAGCGCAACCACGAAGCTGATGAAATCCTCCGCCGAGTTGATTGGGTGGAGCTCCTGCGCGAAGGCACTTGCGCCATCCTTGATGTGTTCGAGCTCGTTGAGACCGAGATCGTCGAGCCAGCTCGCCATCGGGGACCGAAAAAGCAGATCCCAGATAACATATCCCGTCACGGCGCAATGTGATCTGTGATCTGTGAGGGTCCGCCCGCAGGCGCATTTTGTACACCGAGGCGGTGCCCGGTGCCGAACCTGTCGGACCTTAAGACAGCGTTGTAAATCCCTGGGCGAGGGTGGTGGAGAGGGCGGTCTGTCGGCGCGCTAAACCGTAACCCGCCGGGGCGGGCCGGATCCACGCGCTGTCGGACCGCCCCGTTGGAGGTAGACCGCTCGTCTAGCCAATCAGCCTTAAGCGAGCGGCCTGGCCGTTGGAATGGCCGGGTGGAGAGAGGGGCGGAGTCGGCTCGGAAGCGCGACTGCAGCCACGGGGACTGCCCGCCCACTCTCGTCGGGTTGAGGGGAGGACGACTGTCTCCGCAGGACCTCAGTTACGAGCCGTCCTCCCCTCGAGACGCGAGGCCAGTGCACTTGGGGCCGAGCCCCAGCGTACACCGTCCCACGCGCCTCACGCGGCCTCTGGCTGGAGCGGGATCGCAAGCGAGTCCCCCAGGCCGGCGCGCGTCTTCCGAGAGAGGAGCAGGTGAGCGAGGGACATTCGCAATGTTCTTTCTCTCTGTGATTTCGTGCTCGATACCCCCGGGTTCGGACGGGGGTACACCTGTTCATTGGCCGGAATGAGCTCATTAGGACGAAGCGGGAGATGACAGATGTCTTCACACCGCAGAAACCAGACCCACAGGCAGATCCCACGGGAAATCGAGGCGGGTGTCCCAGAAAACAGATCCCAGAAAAAACAGAGCGCGCGGCAGAAACCGACCGACCCCTGGGTTTTCGGCTATGGGAAACCGCGATGGGAAACCGCAGCAGAAACCCTATGGGAAACCGAGGTCTGGTGTCTGCTTTATATATCCAGAGGAATGGCGCACAAACTGTTAGGCCCCAAATTAACCGCGTAAGGGCTAAGCCTAAGGCAACCCTAGCTACAGAGAGGTACACCCGCTCTCTCATTTGCACGTCACAGCACAGTCACACCGCATGTGTGACACGGCATGCGGCCCGACGGCTCCAACTGCGCCAAATCAAGAGACGGACACAAGCAAGCCAGCCGCGGGAAAGCCCGCCACTCCCGCTGCTCACTCCCGCGGCCGCCCAAAGCCGCGGCCGCCCGAGGCCCCGCCGCCGCCGCCGCCGCCGCCGCCGCCGCCGCCGCCGCCGCCGCCGCCGCCCTCTCGCGCGCCGCCGCTCCCGCCCGCCGCGCCGGCCTCGCCGCCCGCAGCGTCCTCAGCCGGGTCGGCTCCCCGCTGCGGCTGCTGCGCGTTGCCCGCCGCGACGGCCGGCGCGCCCCCCTGCGCGCGCATCCGCTCCAGCACCGGCTCGGGCACCAGCACGTACCCGTCCTCGTCGAGGGCGAGGGAGCCGAGCCCGGCCGTCAGGCTGCGGGTGCCGTTGCACCAGCGCTGGTAGTCGGACTCGAGCAGCGCGGCGAAGCGCGGCAGGATCGCGTTCCCCACCGCGCGCATCACCACGCCGATGGCTCCCTGCACCAGCGGCCGCGGCGCCCGCGCAAACGGCGCGGGCAGCCGCACGGAGAGGCGGACGGCGGTGCGGCAGGACAGGTCGGTGGCGTTGGCCCACGCGGCGCCTCGCCTCCTCGAGGCCGCCCACTGCAGCGTCGTGTTGAAGTCGAGCTTGAAGACGCCCTTGAGCGCCTCCTGCGCCGTCGCGAGCTGCGCCGCCGTCACGTCCGGCGGCAGCTCGGCCGCGTCTCCAAAGAGCGAGGCGCCGACCGACTCGAGCGCGATGCTGCCGTTGGAAGGGCGCACGCGGACCCGCAGCTTTGGCTTTGGCATGAAGGTCCCGGCCTTGGGGCGGACGCTGGGCAGGCTCAGCTCAAACACCTCGCCGTCGCCGCCCTCCTCCACAGGCAGCCGCCGCATGAGCCTGCTGTCGTAGATTGCGTACTGGTCGACGGGCAGCGCCATGTAGTCGGACATGGTGCCGCCGGCGACCGCGGAGATCGTCCGGACGTGCCGAATCTTGGCGGACGAAATAAACTCCTTGGTCACAGGCACCTCGCCAGGCTTGGCATCGGCGATGGCCGCCATTCCCATCTTGCCGAGCATTTCGGCCGCCTTGGCCGCCGCTCCGCCGCCGCCGCTTGCCTGCAGGACCACAGGAGCGCCGACACGCGGAGAGGCGCCCACCGCCGGGCGGAGCGGCGCTCGAACCTCCAGCCAAGCGAGCGGGGCGGCCAGCAGCCCGATCACCATAGCCATAGAGCACCGCGGAGCCTGGAGCGGCGTGGACAGCCCGCTGGCGCGAGGGGTCGTGTGGGGATTAAAAGAAATTTTTCCGCGGAGAAAGAAAAAATCCCGGTCATTTTTCTTTTTAATCCCCAGAGCTCTCATTCCTGGCGACCACCGCGCTGGGGTGCGGCCGGGCGGAGGAGCGCCGGCGGTGTGCCGGGCCGGCGTGCCTAACGCCGCGCCGTCGCCGCTGCCTGTAGGTTCTCGCGCCGACCGCGCTGCGCCCTCGAGGCTGCGCCCCGCGCCTAGCTGGCGCGGGACGGCGCCACGGCGCTCGGCGAGAGGCGCTCCCGTAGCATCGTCTTGCCCAGCTCGCGCCGCACGTCCGCCGCGCCAGAGCCGTCGGCAGGGCTAGCGACCCACGCGACCTCCGCCATCCCTCGCCGGAGCGGCGCGGGGAGCTGCCGCAGTGCGGCCCGCCCCTCCGGTGCGCACGCGAGCGAGTAGAGGGCGCGCGCCGCCGCGCGCCTCGCCTCGGCCACTCGCGACGGAGGCGAGCCCGCGGAGGTGGCTGCGCCGGCGGGTGGCGGGACGGCGGCGCGCAGCAGGGCCGAGGCGAGGTGGGGGACGGCGCCGGCGCGGCAGAGCGGCGCGCGGCATGCCGGCCACGAGGCGAGGTTGGCGACGAGCGTGCCGAGCGCGAGCGCCTCCTCCTCAGCCGCCTCCTCCGCCTCCTCCTCCGCCGCCTCCTCCGCCGCCTCGCCGCCTTTTGGCTCGACGTCGCCAAGCGCCGCCTCGAGACGCTGCAGCAGTCCCTGCGCGTCGGCTCCGCCGGCTAGCACCGCTTCCGCCGCCGCTCCCTCGCAGGCGAGGTTGGCGAGCGCCTTCAGCGGCGCCGCCCTGCCCCGCGCAGCCGCCCTGCCCCGCGCAGCAGCCGCCGGGGCGAGGCTAGCGCGCAGCAGCGGCGGCACGAGGCCCTCCCGCACCAAGCAGCGCGCCATCGCCGGTGACTCGCGGGCGGCGCGCGCCACAGCCAGGAAGGCGTCGTCCTCCTCGCCGTCGCAAACTGCCACCCGCCGCGCAAGCGAGAGGCAGCGGGCGGCGAGAGGCTCGACCGGCGCGGCCTTCGGCGGCGGCGCGCCGTGCAGCAGATTGCGGTTTAGCGCGCCGAGTGGCGCACGCGCAAGGCTCGCGCCTCCGGCACGCTTCGCGACGCCGTCGACCGAGATGGGAAGCGTGCGGCCCTTGCCGAGCCTCACGAGGATGGTGTGTCCCTTGCCGAGCACTCCGGTGGCCTCCGGAACCCAGCGGACGGTGAGTGCACCCTCGGAGCGAGCCGGAACACGCACTCGGTCCTCGACGACGGCGAGGGCCCCAGTTCGGCGCGACGTCACCGCGGAGACGACCACCGCCGCCTCGGTCGGGTTCGCAACGCGAACAGTCCTCTCGGCAACCGCGCCGACGTAGACGGAGCCGAAGCTGAGCACGCATGGCGCCGAGAAGGGCGCGACGCTGAGCACGGCCTCCATTATAGACGTCGACGGGTCAGGATGTGTCGTCGGCGGGGCGGGGCGGCGGGGCGGCAGCGAGCGGTCAGACAGAGGGTGCTTCGAACGGCGGGTTTTTCTCTTTTTTCTGTTTCTTTTCTTTTTTCCGATCGTCTCGCTCTAACCACTCGCTCCTTCCCTGCAGCTTCCATCCACCAACCAGCGCACCAGGCAGGCGCTGCAGCGGCTCCCCTCCACCCACAGCACCACGCACGGCAGGCGCTCCCCCGAAAGAGTCGAATTCGCAGCAGAGGGAAAAGAAAGAAACGCACGACGTTTCTCATGTAAAAGCTCGAAAACGGAAACGGCAAACTTGTTGCCGGCCCGGGCGCCGCCCCGAGCAGCGTGTGCGCTCCCGGCGCGTCCGTGTCTCCGGATTGGGGTCGCCCACTGTGCGCGGATGCACTTGCTCGGGCTGCTCTCGCAGGCCCCGGGCGCGCACGCCGAGTGCCTCCCCGCCTCCAGCTTTTGCGCCCCGCCACGGGTCGTGGGCACACGCCGCACCGCCCCGGCAAGAAAGCTCTCCTCGCACACTCCCCAGCATGACCCCGCCGGCGAGGCTGCGACCGAGCTGCTGGTGATGGCGGGGATTGCGGTGGCCATCATCCTCCTCATCCTCACGCGAGCTCACCGACGCTGTGGCCGGCGGCTGGGCGGCGACCCAGAGTTTGCCCTTTCTGGCGGGAGTCCTGTGGCGCCGTACCTCTCGCCGGCAAAACGGCCGAAACGGAGGAAGCGGAAGTCGGAGGACGTGCGTCCAAAGGAGGTGCGCGGGGCAAGGGTCACCGCCGCCGCCGCAAAGGCCACGGCGCCGGCTTCCGTCGCGCGGGCAAGCGCAGGCGAGGCCGACACCACCGCGCCCCAGAACGTGCCTCCGCAGGAGCCGTCGACGCCGCAGCCTTCGCTGACGCGGCCCGTGCTGACTCAGCTGCCCCAGCTTCGCCCCACGGCAACCGAGTCTAGCGCCTCGCCCGCCTCCGACCGCGACTCGTCGACGCACGAGTGGCCGATTGACCCCTCCACCGCTCACCGGCCGCCGTCGGAGGACGGCCTGACCTCGACGGTGGACCAGCCAGTTTCCAAGGAGGGCATGACATCGTTCACGTCCGAGCCGTCAGCGGAGTCCCCACCACGCAGCACCGAACCCTCCTTCGCCGCGACGTACGAGGCCAAGTGCGAGGCCGCAGCCGCCTCGCCCTCGGCGGCCGCCATCCCGAAG